ATAGAAATTTAGTAAGAAATTGTGTAGAAATGTATTATAGTATTACAATTTACTTATTTGGAATATATTAAAGTTAAACTACAATTTATACTCTTTTTGTATATACTCTTTTCTTACAGTTCATTTTGTACTTATTACTAACTACATATTACAAAAAAGAATAAACATTAGTTGACAGTAAAATACTTAAACTCCTCTACTCATATTAGGAACATACTCTTAAGTCAATTATAAGGTAAGTATAAGTATCTCTAGTCTAAGTTATACTCAGACTGGACCCAGACCTAAACCTCAGGTCTAGTCCACTTATAGTCTATAAAGGTTCAGGTCTAGGTTCTACTTTTACCTGGACCTGAGTAAGAGGTCCAGGTTACAGTCTAGGTAAAAGGAGGGTAGACTAGACCTAGACTAGACTGTAGCAACTATAGTCTGATAAACTTTCTAAAGTTAATAAAGTGATTAGAAAAGAATAGGAAACACTATACTTTAGTCAAGTCTGACTTAGTAGAGTAGAGGAAAGAAGAGATCAACTAGTAGGATATTTTAAATTAGACTATTTTAACAATTTTTGCTACTACTTTCTAAATGATTATATAAGTAAGGTTGACTTAATCATTAAAGTATTAAAGGTAGAGTACAATATTCATATCCTTTAAGACTGTGTTATTACAACTACTAATCAAATAAAATAGGGTCTTACTATTAGTACAACTCTGAGTAGATAAAAGTAGCTTACTTTATCTACTACCCTTATCAGGAAAAAGTTACATTTCTTATAATGTTTTGTAGACTTTGTAAAACATAATGTAAGTATTATATATACATTATAATAAGATTATAAGGATCTTACAGTTATTTACAATGTATATACAATACTTATATTACTTTTACAAAGTCTACAATGTATTATAATGAACCTGACTTTTTCCTGATACTGTTGTCTTAATTTTTATCATAAGTAGGCAGCATGTTAGTTAAATAAAGTCTTCTCTATACACAGTACTTAAACAGTAATACATTCTAAGGATTGTTATACTAATTACAGTATCTGTAGCAGAGCTACAGACTGCTAGTACTAAGAGATGTTCAAATGACACAATGAAACAGTAAACTTAAAGGATGCAAGTGTCATGGATTATGTAATACAGCCAATCATAGTGCACGCATCTCTTGCCATGCTAACACTAGAGGCAAAAAGAGGTCTGGAAAATTTGTTTCAGAATGTATTTTCAGTAAATCAGGTAGGAGCTTTTGGATTTTGTAATAAATTTACAGAGTTACAGAATGTAAATCTGCCTTCTGTGTAACTTATTCTTGACTTAATATAATTGCTATTTGTAATTCATAATATGTTATAATGCTAGTGTATTTATTAATATGGAATCTTTTGTTACACCTTGTTAGTACTTTATTTGCTAAAAGTAGTAAAGTATAGTAGCCTAGTAGGAACAATGATTGATACAATACATTTTAATACAATATGATAAATTCAGCTGAATAAAGAAAGAGCCCTAGTCTTTGAATTGCTTTTCAACATTGTAAGAAGCTGCTTATAAGGCTATAACATGTTGTATAGGCCACTACTCTATACTATTTGAATGAGTAGTAAGATGGGAAAACATAGTGTGAATCAACAATACTAATTTCACTTGAGATGAAGAGATAGGTTGTAGACAAGACAGTAGTAATATGGTGACAGTAGCTACTGTATTGTGTACAATGTGCCACACTATAGCCAACACAGCTGTTGTTTTTTCTGACCTTTACTTAGCTTGCTTCTTCCTGTCTAAACAGTTTCACTTACACACTATCTGTCTTTGCCCTTTTGTCTTTCCCAATTCATTATACAAAAATGGTACAATCCAATCCATTATCCACTAAAGCACTCTATCCCAGGGCTTTCAAGGAGAGAGAGGGATTGAGAGAATTTGCAAAGAGAGCATTTGTACTTCATCAATTTTGCATCAGTTTCAAGTTGCACTATCTGATTCTATTACCTTAGCAACTCTCATCATATCCTTTGTGCAAAATTTCTTCAAAGCAGTAGTTTGCTGAGAAACCATTTGTTGTATTCCATATATATAATATAACACTGCTACATTGCTAACAGAATTACATCAAATGCCAGCACCTTACTATCTTTAGTGAACTGTCTTACTTAGGTGCATCAAAAAATAAGTTATTGTATTTGATACTAATGTACTTATCAAGCAGCTATCTATCACAGACTGGAAGATACACAGAGCTGTCTGACACGAATTTACTTTGCTTAACTACAGTCCTATAAAGTAAGGCCATTCTGTGTTGCTTCCAGGTGTCTTCATATTCATAGTACATCAAGTCCATACCTGACAGGAATTACTAGCATGTCTTACAAGAGACAAAGTGGCAAAAGACAATCGACTTCTTCCTCTTCCAAGGACCGTTCAAGAATAAGGTGCAAAAATGTTTTCTTACTGATGCACAATCTCTGCAAGAACGCCAACACTGACAATCCCAATGAAAATATATGCAACTTTGTGAACAGGTTCAACACAACAAAAATGAATGTAGATGAAGTGTTGAACTACGAAGAAACATGGGAAAGGGATCTTGGACGTGTTAATAAAGCAATTTTAGATGCAGGTAAAAATAAAGATGCGAATGAAGACATACTTAAAGAGAACGAGAAACTAAGAGACACACTTGCTAGGTATCTCAAATCGGATCCATTTGACAGTTTTGTTCGCTTGCCTAATTATGCAAGTGAGATTGATCAAATTATAGGAGTATTGAAGAAAGAGTACAATATTCATATTCCCCAGGATCATATTATTTCAACCTCTGATCAGATAGTATTGAACAGTATCATTGGCGGAACCCTGAGGTCTGAGTAGCCAAAAGTAATTTCATTTTAATAGCCTGTTACTTTGATTTGTGTCATAAGCAGACACCATGGCAATTAAATAAAGTCTTCTTTATGCTCAATACTGTAACAGTAACACGTTATAATAATCATTACACTAATTACAGTATCTGCAGAGGCTGAGAGTCAGTGGTAAAAGACGTGTGTATCATGGATTATGTAATACAACCAATCATGATAGTGCACGCGTCTCTTCGGCCGACTTGATCTCGACTTGATGATAATTACCACCTGTAATACTATCAGTAATAGTGTAAGTGTCTCCGTTGATATTTCACCATTTGCTGCACTTTATTAGGACCACACTTATTAGAAGCAGTGAAGTGTAGCAGGAATGATGAGGTGACACAGTGCTTTGCAGTACAACGTAATAAACCGAGCTGAGTAAAGAAAGGGTCCCGATCAGGAGTGCTGTAAGCCTTTAAATTATCTGCCAGCATTATGAGGAGCTGCTTATATCAGTGCAAACTAGTCAAAGGCAGTAACATGCCACATAGGCTACTGCTCTATGCTTTTCGAATGAGCAGTAAGATGAGATAAACATGGTGTGGATTGGCATGTCAATTTCGCTTGAGATGAAGAGACGGGTTGTGAATAAGGCAGTGGTAATATGGTGTAAGTAGCTACTACAGTGTGCACAATTTGCTACGCCACGGCCAACAGGGCTATTGTTTTTCCGGTCTTTGCTTGGCTTGCTTCTCCACTTTAGACAGCTGCAATTATACACTATCCGTCTTCACTCTTTCGTCTTTCTCAATTCATCATGCAAAAGTAGTACAATCCAATCTGTTATCTACCAACAGAGCCAATAGCAAGGCTTTTGAGGAGAGAGGAATTGAGAGTGAGTATATGTATAGAGTAAGTGCCCTTCAGCAATCTTGCGTCATTTTGCACTATTCCTTACAGTGGATCCGTTACCTTTGGAACTCTCGTCATGCCCATTGTACAAACTTTCTTGAAAACAGCAGGTTAGTGCAAAAGTATTTGTCATTTCCATATATAACATTGCTACCACAGTTATATCTGATGCTGATGTACTTTGTCGAGCAGTTATCTATAGTTACATAACAGTAGATCAGATGAGTACATCTGATATGAATGTACTTTGCCTACTAACTGCAGTTCCATAAAGTAAGGCCATTCTGTGTTGTTTATAGGTGTCTTCATAGTTACAGTACATCAAGTCACTCCTGACAGTCAGTTTTACTACTGTACCATGTCTTGTAAGAGAAAAGATAGCAAAAAACAATCAAGCTCTTCCTCATACAGGGGTAGTTCAGAAATAAAATGCAGAAACGTTTTCCTACTGATGGAACATCTCTGTACAATGGATGACCCTACTAACAATCCTAGTGTCACTACACCAGTAAATATAAGCAAGTTCCTAAATAGGTTCTCCCAGACAACAATGGAAGTAAAAACAGTATTGGGCTATCAGAAGTCATGGCAAGAGAAACTTTATCAAATTAATACAGCAATTAGAAATGAGGAGAAAAGGCCATACTTTGGCAAAGACTGGCTTAGATCACAAGAGAAAAGAAGAGATGAACTTCTCGTACTTCTCGAATCAGATATGTATAATACTTTTGTTGTCTGCAATCCAAATGATTTTGCAAGCCAAATCAATCAAATTATAGGGGTATTGAAGACAGAGTACAATATTCATATTCCCCAGAATCATATTATTACAACCTCTGATCAGATACTATGGAGCAGTGTCATTGGCGGAACCCTGAAGTATGAGTAGCCAAAACTAACTTTACTTTAATAGCCTGTTACTATAATGTGAATCAAAAGCAGACACTATGACAATTAAAAATGCCTACTTTATGCTCAGTGCTTACAGTAAACAGTGATACACTCTCAAAATCGTTGTTCTAATTACAGCGTTTCTATTGCCTCGGAAAGGCGTACTCAAATCAAGTTCCATTTATTATATGTTCCCAGGTACTTTCTTCGTATTTGTGAACACTTTTTCATCTGCCTCAGACGTATCAGCATGGAAAAAGTAACGGACTATCCACGTTTGGACAAAACCTCGGATCACTAGTGCCTCGCTTAGAAATGGTGTTTCTTCACCTCAGTCCTTCAACGCAGGCGCGAATCGTGACGATTGTGCTACATCGCTTTGAGAAACTTCACTCTTGGTGCTCTTTCTCCTTATAAGATTGGAACAACGTTGGCTAGATATCGTTTGAAATGGCCGAAGTAGCCACAAATGAGCACCTCTCCCTTCTCAAAGGCCTTTATCCTACGTCATCGTTCGATAAGGTCGCCGAATATGTGGAAAATCCGTGGTACATCGTTACAGCTGTTGCATTTAGTGCCAGCAACAGACCCGACGCGGTCGCGCTGGTGTTCAAGTTCGTCATGGCTGGACTCAGTGCACTTTCTGGATCTCACGATGATAAGCAACTTGTGGTACTCAGGATGCGCGAAGCCATCTTCAAAGCTGGACTGATTAGTGGGTACTCCCGGGTATAGCAAGTTGACTTTCTGGATGAAGATTTCTACCACTGACCGAGGTCACTATTTGATTCAGGCTATTTCTGCCTTGATAGCACTGAATGAAGTAACACCCGAGGAATTCAAGTATAAAAAACTACTCAGGTGTGCGTCATATCGGATCGATAAATCTGATATCTTATGACATTGCTATTGTGCAGAGAAGTTGATAACGACAAAGTCTCTGACTTGGTCTCTCGGGGAGACGGACTATTCGAAGCAATGTACGGCACCACAGCGGCCCCTGTGCAGACTCTCCTCGAAGAGATCCATCCTGACATGGGTATGATATTTTTGAATTAGTCTAGTTTCGTTTATAAGTAACAAATCGTCAGGGTGGTTCTCCAAGAACATTGCTTATGGATACGTTTATCAAACCGTAGGGATTCTTTCTCAACGTGATACGTCGTATGCTATCGTGGCTGCCCTCATCGCGATGGACACACCCCGTCAAATTGGATGGCATCTTGCAAACTGTAAACGCGGGGGTGCGAGACATGAGGAAATATGTTCAATTCGTGACATATCGATGAGAGTGGCGAGTGCATGTGGGGTAAAATGGCGTGATGGTGTCCCCGAAGTGCAAGCGGATGAGTAGTAACTTGTCAGTATGACCTTGCAGGTGAAAGAAGGTTTGGCAGGAATGTAATACTTTGAAAGTGACACACACATACAGTAACAGATTCTGGATTTAACGTGCTCAATGGTTGATATATTCTTGCTTAAGCATGTATTAGGGGTATAGTTGCCGCGGTCCGGTCCAGGTCCGGTCCAGACAGGTTTTTGCTGGACCGTGAACCGGACCAGGACCGATTTCTTATGAAATCCTGGACCTCGGACCGGACCCAGCTGGACCTCTTGTGGACCGGACCAGCGGTCCAGTCCAGGTCCGAACCCGGTCCGGACCTCTGGACCAATTATATAATATATATTAAAATAATTCTGTCTTATTAACATGTTATATAAGATAGATATACTATTAAGTACTATAATAATATGTTTCTGAATATATGTAAGCTTATATGTATCAGAATACAATTACTTTTATTATTTGTATTATACTAAGTGTAAAACACAAGAAGTACTAGTGTAATAGAAATCAGTTCCCACAGTCAATGTAAACTGCCGTTTACATCTGTAAGACACAATATAGTCTATTTGTATGCTTAAAGGGTATACAATGCACTATACAATATATGTAAGAGTAGTTCACATCTGTTAGGCTCTGTACAGTCCATTTGTATGCCTTAAAGAAGTAGTATCTACAATATAAACGGTCCACAGTCCGGTCCAGGGTCCAGGCGGTCCAAAGCGGTCCGGAAATTTTTGTCAAACGCTGGACCGCGGACTGGACCCCTGTTGGACCCAACTGGACCGGACCTCAATCGGACCGGACCAGAGGTCCAGTCCAGGTCCGGACCCGGTCCACAGCGGTCCTGGACCGGACAACGGCAACTATAATTAGGGGACTGGGGTTGTAAAGAAGAAAAAAATAGAGAAGCAACCTCGGGGACAAAAAAAAGAATGCGTAGCTGTTTTTGATTCTATATCTTCATTGGTGCATACAGACTAGCAAAGCATATGAATTAGATAGACCTAGAACTCGCAGTGAAATCTTCAAAGGAGATTTGTGAAAGGTGAAAGCAGCAATTATTAGTCAGCTCCTTCTCGATAAGGCAGGACTCGTTGGCCAATGGAGTTGAGTGTGTTTCTGTCCGTCGTCGCTGTTCCGAAGCTCATCTCCTCCATCCTCCTCCCTCCATGCTCAGCCGCGCAGGCAAAGGTCCGCCATTTTCATATTCTTAACAATAATAAATATCTGAAATTCTTCCTTCAGCCGTTCCGCGGCCACTTCGCGCAAAGGCTGGACGGTCATTTGCAACCGTCGCCGACCCTCCAGTTCGCAGATATGGTGGTCTAAAAGACCAGGACAGGATATTCCAAAATGCTTACTGTCGGCACGATCACGGTATCAAGGGTGCTATGGTATGTCTTCATTTTTGCCGATACAGGTTGCACCAATATTGACACGCTACCAAGGCTCGGGGTGACTGGCACCGTACAAAAGACATCCTCCTCAAGGGCGACTCCTGGATCATTCAGACGATGAAGGATTCTGGTTTACGAGGTCGTGGTGGGGCAGGTTTCCCATCAGGTCTCAAATGGAGTTTCATGAACAAACCCGGCTGGGAGAAAGACCCGCGTCCACGGTATCTCGTCGTTAACGCCGATGAAGGCGAACCAGGCACCTGTAAGGACCGTGAAATCCTGCGTGGTGACCCACATAAACTCGTCGAAGGCTGTCTCGTCGCAGGACGCGCTATGAATGCTAACGCAGCGTACATCTACATCCGTGGAGAGTTCTTCCAGGAGGCGTCTCATCTTCAACAAGCTATTAACGAAGCTTATAAAGCTGGTCTCATCGGAAAGAACGCTTGCGGAAGTGGGTACAACTTTGATGTCTACCTTCATCGTGGTGCTGGTGCATACGTATGTGGAGAAGAGACTGCGTTGATAGAAAGTCTGGAGGGGAAGCAAGGCAAGCCGCGTCTCAAGCCTCCCTTCCCCGCCGATGTTGGTCTCTTCGGTTGCCCTTCGACTGTAGCGAACGTAGAGACCGTCGCTGTCGCTCCTACAATCTGCAGACGTGGTTCCAGCTGGTTTGCAAGCTTCGGACGAGAACGTAACCAGGGCACGAAGTTATTCTGCATTTCGGGACACGTTAACAACCCATGTGTCGTTGAAGAAGAGATGAGCATCCCACTCAAAGAGCTCGTCGAACGTCACTGTGGTGGAGTTCGCGGTGGATGGGACAACCTACTCGGTATCATCCCAGGCGGTAGCTCAGTACCCATCCTACCAAAAGACAAATGCGCGGAAGTACTCATGGATTTCGACTCCCTCAAAGACGCGCAATCCGGCTTGGGTACGGGCGCAGTCATCGTTATGGACAAATCTACCGACGTCGTCGCAGCCATCGCTCGCTTCGCACACTTCTATAAACACGAATCGTGTGGACAGTGTACACCATGTCGGGAGGGAACGACATGGATGATGAAGATGATGGACCGGTTCGTCGAGGGACGTGGACACAGGAGAGAGATCGATATGTTGTTAGAGTTGACAAAGCAAGTCGAGGGACATACGATTTGTGCGTTGGGCGATGCAGCGGCGTGGCCCATCCAGGGATTGATGCGCCATTTCCGTCCTGAGGTCGAGCGGAGAATTGATGAATTCCGTGCGAAGCATGGAACTGTTATGTTTGGTGGACGCTTGAAGAGTGAGACTGCTGACCCCACCTTGGCGTTGCCGGATAATATGGGTGCAAACCTCGTAGAAGAGCCCAGAGTGTAGAATAGCGTGTTTAGGGGGCAATAATAATCTTTTCCAACTCGATAACACTGGTGCGACCAAAGTTGAATCTGACAAGGTGGTTTAAAGGTGTGTCGTGACCTAAAATAGTTGCTTTGTCCATTCAGAGTTGAGATACTACAAGAAGATATATTGCAAAAGAACAGAGTAGTAGTGATAACATAAAATCAGTGGAATCAAGTAATTTAATGTCGTCCGCCTCTCCTCGGACCCCACCGACTGCCACGTCCACCACCAAAACTACCTCTACCGCCATACCCACCACGATCCCGATACCCACCACCATAAGACGATGATCCACCTTGGTTGCCTCCCCATTCTCCATTAACCCCACCTCCACCATTATGATCCATATACCCAGAATCATCTTGACGCTGTCCAACACGGCCATCGACTTGCTGAGTTGGAGGAGCCGTAGAGGTGCGTCCAAAACCTGGTATACCCGGTATTCCATCTTCGTTGGTCGTAGACGTGTTTCCAACTGCAGACGCAGATGCACCAGCAGCAGCAGCTGCTGCTGCTGCAGAGGCACCAGAGAACCCAGGTAACATCGGCATAGCATTCGCGTCCTCTTCCTTCCCCCACCATGACAACCCAGGCACAGCCATCCCATCCCCATCATCCTCCGCATCATCATCCTCTTCCGCACCTCCCTCAGGTGGTCGAATCCCACCACCCGAAAACGTCGAACCAGCGTCTCCAGGCCGCTCTCGTGCCCAGAATCGTGTCGTGTGGTCGTTAGATGCACTGACGAGTATGTGACCTAAAGGATGGAAGGCGAGTGACCAGACGTTGCTGTCGTGTGCTTGTGCGAGTGTCGCACGGGGTCCTTCGGTAGCTTGAGAGACGGCAGTGGAGGATTGGGAGGAAGAGTTGGCTAGGATTGAAGCTGGGCTGTCGACGTCCCAATAAAGAATCGAGCCTTCTGAGCCTCCGGAAACGAGAATTGGATGGATTGGATGCCATGTAAGAGCTGAAGGGAATATCCGTTAAGAAATGTATAGAGCTCGTGTGTGAATAAACGACTCACAGCAGACTTCCTTCTTATGTCCCCTGAGGACGCGGAACTCCTTCATCGCGCGAATATCAAAGAGTCGGATTGTCTGGTCTCGTGAACCTGTAGCAAGAATTCCACCATCCGGTGACCATGAGAGTGCTTGGATTGTGTTTTTATGATGATGCCTAGAAATACGGTAGATGTTGAGTAAGAGTAAGGATTCAGCAGGAAAAGACGAACAATGTCGACAGGCAAGTTCCGGTTCGAGGGTCCCAAAACTTCACTAGATTGTCTTTGCTTCCAGAAGCTAGCAAACCTTTCGAAGGGTGCCACTGAACGCATCGCACGTCCCAACCGTGTCCTATGTAAGGGGTCAGTTGGAGAAGATCGCTAACGAATCTGGTGACGAACCAGACAACACCCTCTCCTCCTTGCTTTCTTCAAAATTCCATATCCGTACGGTCGAATCGTCGCTAGCCGTAGCAAAACGCGCATCATCAGGTGAGAAGCTGATATCTCGAACCGCCTCTCGGTGACCCTGCCATGCAGTCAAGTTGTTCATATTCGGCTGAAAATACTTGATGATACCAGTTTGATCTGCACTGGCGAGATACGCTCCTGACCGCGAGAACGATAGTGCCCGCACAGCACTATCATGAGCTTGAAGAATCGTCTCAAAGTTGAATGTCAACCCGTTCCATAGAGTAAATTCTCCAGACGTGCTGCCAGTGAGCACGCGTCGTCCTTCTGGAGTCCACGCAACACAGTTCACAGGACATCGGATTTTATTTGTTGAAGTATGGATAAATTTCGTCGTTAAGGATGTAGAAGGATTCGTAGGATAACCGGCTGGTGGGAGAAGCTGTAACGGCCGTCGTAAGCGCATGCTGATAATGTAAAGTATGAACGGAAAACACACGTCAATGATGCATGGCGGGGCTGGTCTTATGTACGGTACATATCGAGGGTTCGGACGACATCTCCTATTCTAGACGCAATAACAAAGGATACTTGGACGCGTTCAATGAGTGAGTTGCATCCGTTACTTACAAGGATCCAACGGCCCATTGCCCCTCCGTAGTCTACCGTCCGTCGCGGACGTGTCTTCTTGAGAGCCTTGCCATCTATCAGCTGACGCGCCGCGGCTAAAGCAATTTCAGTGCGCTGCTCATCTGGAGGAGGAGGATGCGGCGGAGCAGTATGCCGCGTCGGTGTCCAGTCATTCGTCGAAGCTCGAGGAATGGCGGAGGAGGGTAGGAGGACAGGTAGTGCGTCCATACCTTCAGGCGGTTAGAGACTCAGAGGTCAAAGGTACTTACTACTTTGCCTTTTCAAGCTCTTGTAACTGTGTGAATCATGGATTATGTTATAAAATTAGTCATCAGAATACTTGTAATAATCAATAACATACAACAACCCAGGCCTTCATATTACTTTTGCCCCCACAGATAATCACCTGTATGGATGATAGCTAATTGGTCACCAGTTATCAATATTAATGAAAAGGAAACACTCCTATTAATAGCCTAAGAGAAATAACAAGCACATAGCAGACGAGCGTCAGAGCTAAGGAAAAAATACACGAGCCTCATAATATACAAAACTAGGCCGAGTAATTGTACATAAAACCGTGAAACAGCAATCAATTCGCGACCCTAATACACTTTCCATCCCATTTCGGCCACTCAGCAAGGGCCTGCGTAACAATAAAATGCGCGATGTCCTTCCTGCTAACTGTATAACTTCCACTCAAATCTTTATCGCCCGTGCGGTACGGGGGTTTGCCATTCTTCTTCGGCTTCTCATCCCCTTTACTATCACCATCAGTAAGCAGCGCTGGTCGGACAACGACAACATGTTTCAACCATCCCTGTGGGTTAACGCGGGCTTGCCACCCGTCCGGGAGAATATCTTTACTCGGTTCGCCATCCTCCGTCGGCCATTCCCAACCTGCGGCATGGTGTACTGTACGCTCCATTCCAAGTTTATCTTTATGCGGTCCGTCTAAGACGAAGCTGTATAACGGCTTGATGACGAATGGCAGCGAGGAATGAGCACTCTTGCTGAGACCGTTCGAGGAGACGAGGACAAGCTTGGGTTGAGTTGCAGGGTCACGGGGGTAAATTGAGAGGAGGTTAACCATGCACCGTGTGCAGATATCAGGAGGGTCTAAGACGGCACCCTTCGTAATTGACATTTTCGGAACTCCTCCTTTAGTCATGAAATCGAATTTGAAGTAAAATCGCAGTTAACGCTAGTTAATAAAGCGTTTAATGGAATAAAATGAGCCGAGGCACTGACCAACTGAAAAGAGGACGACATCGAGGGGGCCATCGTCTCCTTCTGAGGCAGCCTCCCAAGCCTGACTGACATCCTCTTCTTTTAAAGCATCTCCTTGGACGAGACGCGCCTTTCCAGAAGCAATGTATGGCTTTATGCTTTCGTCCGAGTCAAAGCACGACCTTTTACGGAGCAAGAACGTGACAGTCGCTCCTGCATCTAATACCAACAAGTTAACATAAGGTCAAAATTCAATGGCTGAGTATCGTCGTAGAAGCTACGTACTAAGGAGTCGTTGAGAGGCATAGTATCCAATGTTGCGAGAACCTCCAATGACGAGGACTTTCATGATGGTATAGTAAGCGTGAGGTAGAGGTTCAAAGTGAAACAAAAGTAGTTTGATGACCATCCGAACCTCTCCAGCGCGCCCTCTTTATACCATAACACCAGCCCGATCCCAGACTCTGCGGATCTCACGACGCATTCAAACATGCGATGCACGCGTGTTGGTTGCCGAACCGTTTCGCGTTTTCGCGCAATGAAACTGTGCAAACGTGTCTCTGCGCCCATATACTGCGGGACCACGTATATATCTTTTCGCTGCTAGGAGATACACCCCGGTGATCGGCATTCTGATTCCATCACCGAGACAGGAACATTGCAATAATGGAGAGCACTCCTGAAAGTCAATGCAACAGGCAGTCATCTGATGATGATAAACGTTAGCGACCAGGCAGTGTCTCCAGGCCTCGGGCAGCCTAGTGGGCAAGCCCGATCCAGGGCAATTTATTGTCAATGAACCCAAATCGTTGCAAAGTGAAACTGGATGAAATCAGTCGGTTAGAATAAAGATGATCGTTATGTAATCAAACGTTACGTAACCCAGTGCACGTCTCCGACCGACTGCAACTTTTCGTTCATGCTCATGCACCATTTGCTGTGTAACTGCGTAATACATAGGTAGGACACGTTTGGAAATGATACACCGCAAGGGAAATGTGAGTAGTACAGTCCTAGTTCAACCAACGGAAATGACAGAGTACACAGACATCAATCCGAAATACATGTACTATACATGCAAGTAGGCAGAAAAATAAATACAATCGTCGCGGGCATCAGAGGGGACAAAGGAAGCGAGGTCAAAATGTCAGTCCGTTAGCGATCAAAGGCAATCAAAGATCTTCCTTGAACTTTGTCCCGCCGGGAAAGGTGAATACGGTTTCTGCCGAGTCGACAGACATATGTCTGGGTTGTGAGTCGTTTCTCATGTTCAAGTGGTCGATATATGCCGGATAGTGAGATAAGGAGTCGTCTACCATTGTGTTAGGAGAAGTCGATCGAGGAGGAGGATAGAACGGGTCATCTTCGGGCTGACGATTTGGAGCGTGAAGGTCAATCTCCGACCCATCTCTTTGCCGTTCATGTGAATACCCCAGGTTAGGCACCGTAACCTCACCACGCAGTCCGTTGTTTCCTCCATGCATACTCCTGTCAAGCTTCACGGGCTCTGATTCGTAATTCGTGCCATGTCCTGGAGCAGGGTCGTACGGTCCCGTTCCCAGCGTATCATTCGCGTCCCAATCATCCTCGTCCTCACCAGGAGCACGTACCCAGCCTGCTTGCTTTGGATTCTTACTCCTGAAGCCGAAAAGCGTTCCCCGCCGCCTTGGGAAGCCAGATGAAGGTGGCGGCTCCTTCCCAATTTCACCACTTTTGCCAGGTACCGTACGTCCGCCGTGCTTCCAATTACGCAAGAGGAAGAACACCCCAATGCATGAGCCTACAAATATAATGGCTAGGCCAATGACGAGACCAATAAATCCTGGATTGAAACGGCGTTTATGAGCATATGTGAGGAATGGGACAGAGGACATAAAACGAACCTCCTTCCGACCCTCCTATCTCCGGTACACTCCTGAAGTGTGTCTGCGTGCTTGCTGGCGGTGTTGTAGGATACTGCACATATCCACAAAGCACAAACACGTTCAGTCAGTCAATACCTGTTCGTTGAACTTGTTCGCCACAGCATATGCGTACCGATGATGGATCATTTGGGTCTGTAGATATAGTCGAACCGCCTCGTCTTTGGAGGTGCACGATAATCCCAAACATTACGCGACGTTACACGACGTTTGTTATTGTACAAGAGTAATTGGTGTAATGTGCAATGACTGTTAGGGGGTACGAAAAGTATGATCGAGTGAGGTCATGGAGAAGGTTCGTGCTGAGGGAACGCGGTCCTGACGCAACACTTCGGCTTTTTCCGATTGTAATCGTGGGAACATACTTTAAGCACATTACATTGGATTGTATTAGTATTACACATATATCAAAATCAATCGTTCAATGGGTATCAATGACGTATGAGCTACTCGAAATCTACGAGGCAACAGCAACAAATGTGAAAGATTAACAGGATATAACAAGTTAAGGACAGAAGGTTAACAGGAAATCCGAGTTTCTCGAGGCCGAGCAATTGCGTAACGCAGTACTACTTCCTTCGTCGTACGCATAGATATATGAATTAGGGCATCCTTGCTCTATAACAATCAGGAGTACGTCAGACTTATGCAATTGCAATAACATCGAAGCTCACTGACTGAAATGTGAATAATACTTGATACCAGACGATGGACACGTCCCCGGCTGGTCGTATTGACCAGTGCAACAATTCGGAGAGTTCTCTGCGATCCGTTGGCATGAGATTTAGTGGATCATATTTCATGAATGTACTTACTAGGATTTCCATCTAGGTTTGCAGCGCAGGCACTTAAGCATCCGTCATCGCCACGTTTCAGCTCGCTAGGACCTAAATAAAATTTAACACTACTATGAATTTGATTGCAACTGGAAATTGTAACTCACAAGTCTTTCCAATGTCATTCGTACAATCAGAAGTTGGGCAGCCTTTGTTAGTCAAGATGCTCATCGGAATATTGAACCCGTCAACGAGTGACACTAAAGAAATGAAGTTGAACTTGCAGTGCTATTGAAACCAAGCGAATAATTGCATACCATCGTAGTAATCAAGTCCCGCCCAACCATTCAGTGTCCATTCCGCAAGCGTGGCAGGTGGAACACCCTATCAATGTGATGAGGTGATGTCAGAATGCGAATAGTGACGTGAGCACACACAGTTCCACTTGACGGGTCACATTTTAAACCTCCATTACAGCCTCCGGTAGAGCATGAACCAGGACCAGGATTCTGGCTAAAGTTACAATCGCGACGACCCTGATAAAGCGATTATCAATACATGCGAGTCTAGTATGAGATAAAACAGTAAAGTAAATCCCTACCCATATACGCCCTGATGTCCAACCGTTTGGAACAGTGAATCTCCAGAGCGAGTTCGGAGGAGCTTCCCACCTTTAGAGACGTGGTTAGGATAACAGGGACAGTATGAACAGCAAATCTTGTGCGTACCCAGTCGGAGCATTTGGCTTTACTGGTGAGTTTCCAGGTGTGAAAATCTTTGTTATGTTAGGATGTAATCAATCAAAGGCATGCGCTATGCCAAACTATACAAGTACTTACCGCTGGCCTACGCAAGTACCGTCAGCAAAGGTCGGTAAGCTCAGTGATTCGACGTACCAAACTGTGTAGCTGCATTTGTTCTTCACATAGAACGTGCGAGAATATACGCCACCCAAGAGAGCTAGAACTGCTACAGCAGACTTGATGAGGACCATGGTGATATCCGAGCTTGCCACGCATTCGAGGTGGGTGGCATTTTATAATACGTTATACATTGCGCTCAGGTCGAGACGTCTCGGTGCAAAGGCAAATGCTTAAGGGGCACTGCCTAATCCATGGGACTTCAAACTGCAAAATGACGCAAGAAGTTGAGCGATTAATGAGCATCACAAGTAACCATACCTGGTACGAAGTGAACAAACTTTGCTCTAAGAGTGATGAAATGATACGATGTAAGGTTAATGGGAGCAAAGTTACGTTGTGATTTCTTCCTACATAAGTCAGGATTGGGTTTGTATTGCACCTAGAATTCCATTTGCCTATGTCCACTGACAAATGGGGGTACTTCTGACTTGATGAGCGATGAAAATACAAAACAAATACCAGAATGGAACAGCGTTTCAATCAATTTTGGTCTGACTGTAGTTGCACGTGACCACTTTCTTTCAGGTTACCGCCTTGAGAGTCCAGAACTTGTGCTGCGCTGCAGATGCACCGTGCGCGTGTTGAATCTTCGAACGACAAAGACAGCCTAAGAAAGACTATAAATTCCAGTGACGGAGGTTTCGCCCTCAAATCTGGTTTATCGCTATCTGAATTTGTTGTCCCTAATAAAGCGACCCGCCAATTGTTCGCGGGTTCCATTAAGGCACTCTATTATTGTCCACCAATTCACGCGTCACGGAAACATTCGTGGTTAACTTCCGCGTCGCTGCTGAATTTTGTAACAGGACAAAGAGATACTTGCGTCACTTAGTCTAACCAGCACACCTGGCCCTCGCCAATTCCTTATCTCCGGGAAAGGCACCATGCACAATACAAGGGCCGTTGCAATTGTCGGCCAGCGGAAATTGTTAAAAGGGAGGCATGGTGGAGAATCGATGCCCTTTTTTGCACTGCCTGAGTGGCTTACGCTTCGACCATGCCTTCCAGTTTGGCGGTACAAAACGCGCGCCAAAGCGCGCAATTTCTGCCCAATACAGGCTCATTTTCTCAGTGGCCAGAGAAAATGCTGAGAACATATTTATGGGCGATGGGTATCGAGCCAGAATCGACCATCCCCGAAGACTTATCGCTCAATAACTTCAACTGCGGCCACATCTCATTCGCCACATCCTCTACTCCAGCAAGCCCTACAAGCCCTTCATTCGGAATAGCGCACGGAATGGCACAAAACTCATTGTCTTTAGCAAACCGAGTTGTAAGCTCTTTGTTTCAATTGTGAAGAAAGAAGAACCGGACTGACTCGTATGCCTCAAGGATGTTGGATCAATGCATGCTTCTCAAAGGCACCCATTTCTTATAGCCCCTCGTCTACGGCACTCCGCTAGTTGCGACTTAGGACTACGGCCGTCACTCCCTACCTCGCCCCGACAGCCTCGTTTGATACCACAGCGCTCCGCGTCTCCATTAAGACCAGTGTATGCAATGAAGCATACAGACGCAACGGCAGACACAATACGACAGTCCTCGGATAAAACCGCGAGAAAGCAGAATGCACTATTAAAACGTCCTCCAGTGTTGGAGGTCGTGCCTGCACCAACCATTATACTTTCTCCTCCGACCTCATCGTGTACAAGCCCGCACACTTTCGCCTCGTCCATTTCAGCATCGAGTTCTGGATATCCTTCGCGACCTGCGTCATCTGTATCTGATGACTGTGATTCTACGTCTACTTTGTCTGAGTCGTCGTATAGCAGCGGTCACAGGGAAGGGCGAAGCAAGTGCGCGTCGTACGCAAACATAATGGAGTCTTTCAGGGAGACACATCCTAACGAACCACGTGCGCCCAGTCGGTTCGTTTCGGAAATTGCGTTCGATTCGGTAGCCCAATCGCAGGTATGTCAGTAAGGTTACTTGTGTAAGAAGTGGAAAACCTTACATAGCCTCATTTATAGTCAGATCATAACTTCATTGTTTTCGATGAGTCGGAACACAGAGGTGGGTTGTCTCAGCTAACGCCCGGCTCCCACGGATGGGTATTTCCGTGCAGGAAATCACTCGCAGAGATTCTTGTAGCATATGCTCAGTACGGTTCAGAGAGTAGTCTATTCGTGAGAAGATGCGTAGGGTCACAAGCACGGTACCAATATCTTGGCATCTACAGAATTGTGAGGAAGAGCATTCACAGTGACGGGGTGAACGAAGTCAAGACAAGGGAAATGGCCTCCTCGTGGCCCGTTTTCCTCAAGTTCCTCTCTTATGACTGGAAACTGTCCTCATTCATGGAGTCTGTCGACAATAAGTCATGCCCACAAGGTGAGGATGCGTGGTAACGGTGTCTAAAGCGACGTTTACTCACACTAGTTTTCCATCCAGGCAGACGGAATGAAAATCTTACAGACAGCTTCCACACTGGCTCTTTCCAACAGCAAGTGAGAAGAAAATCGAGTCGGGCACATGTACGGATCGTTACTGTAGATGGCATGGACTTTGAAATGACACCATCACCTATTGCTTGGGATCATGGGTCATTTCGAGACGCTTGATTAGTTGATACCTGAATGGATACTTTTTTGTTACTTCACATTTTTTAAAATATTTCGAAATTCGTAGACACACCAGTGCTTCTTTCAGTAAATAACGCATTTGTTCAAATATATACACGCTGCCGTTTCATAGAGATTGAATGAGCGAGAAACCCATGAGTGAAAATGCACATTGATGCTGGTGGTCATTGGTCAAGAACGTGGCACGTGCGTTCCCAATCGCGCAACGCGTAAACGCTGCTTTCGTCCTTTGGTCGTGATCTTGGACATTCCAGTCCTGCTCGACAAGGAGAATGAGCTCAATAGCTCTATCAGCCATTATCCATGTGTATCGACTACTCCTCCGCCCAGTGGCTCCGTTCTCATGGTCCGGCTCGAGCATCAGTACTCTAGATGTTAGCGCCGCGCTACGATTGTGTGTTGTGCTTCGACAACTACGCGAAATGACACACCAAAACCATTGGAAGAAACGAGCCTCAAACAACGAAGAGAAAAAGGAAGAGGATATAGAACAAATGAGTTACGTGAAATGCATTGCTGTAACTCTGGTTGTTGTGTACGGAGGCGAAGCAGTTATGAGTATGAGGATTATATTCCGTTTCAACGATTGATCACTCACGTTGTCTATGGACATCGTGACAGACCCTTGGCTCGGAGTGCCGCCTTCATTTGTCTTCTCTCCAGTAGTCCCAGCACTCTATGCAGCCCTAACGGCTCTTGTCGAAACCTTACCCTCGGTTCCAGCCTTATCATTCAAGACAGAATTTCCACTTTCATTCTTTGACGGGATCACACGTGCATTCCTGCTCTGTCAACTTATACCGCCAGTTGTAACGACCCATGCTCAGCCAGTTATCTCAACCTCCCCATGGATTTTGGTCCTTACATCTCTAGTAATCTACTCCTCTCTTTTATCTAAGCAGCTTTTCTGAACGTGTGGTTAGGTCACAGCAAATGGCGGATTCTTCTTCGTTAATCTTTTCTCTATGCTCCATCCAACCGGATGGGCATTGGCTACTCCAGCGGAATTACAGGCATATGGCTGGACAACGGTCGATCTCTGGTGTGCACCAGTAACAACGGTAATTTACGCGCTCCTTACACATGCACAACCATTCTGGGCCGAATTACACGACCTACTTATCCAGTTTGCTGGATCAGAAGCACAAGATGCCGAGAAAACAAGCCCACTACATCGCGGAGAAGCGCTTGATGCTGAAACTGCGCGCGCTGCATGTGCAATCTTCCTTACCATCCTTTTCACGACACGGACCGTACGAAATATGGGAGGTTCGTTTATGAAAGAGCTGCGTGGGGAGAAGAAGAGAGTTATTAGATCCAGTAAGCTTTCCTAGTGTTTTGTTTTTATCACCTGATCTAAAAGCATTTAATCCCATAGAAGTAGATGGACGACGGTTAAAAACGAAAACACAATAATACACGCGAGAGCACTCGTACGGTACTTCCAAAGTTTAGTGCTTGCTTGATTAGAACTCGCTTTTGACATAGATAGAACGTGTTTTCGAATATTAAAAGCAGATTTAGATACCAATTATTTACCACTCCTAGATATCCTAGTTTCTTTAGCTGAAAACCGTATCTTTCCCGTATTTAGTGAATTTTACTGCTTTTCGATTCATACGTGGGCCATAGTGATGTAAATTATTCTTCAACAAAGAAAGGAGTCCGTAATCTTAATAAAATCAACCTGTTATTCAAGTACATTACCGCCACCCACTGCATAGTTCTAAACTTGCATTACAGCTCGCCAGTCGACAGTTGTCCGTTGTGTACACAAGGAAGACCTGTGCGGCATACCCAGCAGTCAAACTCTGAATAATCATTTGTGATACTGAGCCATAGTTGTTCCCAATCGTCACTTGTTGACAACTCCGTCTCCACAGGATAAGCATATGAGCCATTGGTATTGGTACTCAGAGGCAACATGCATGTGTCACTAGCTTTGTAGCGCTCGATTTTAGTTCTTCATCTAAATACATTGTATTAAATAACTGAACACTTACTCGGATTAAAAGGAAGGGGCAATTCAAGTTGTTTTCCTCCGATGACCTGTTCCCCGTTAAATAGACCCGTCATCTGCTGATAATGAGTCGCTCCATTCATTGCTGAGGATTGAGGAACGGATTGATCAGGCACAGACTAAATTAATTTGACAACACATTATGAATTGTTTAGGAAACACAAGTGGTGCAAACATATGAAGAACTTACAGATGTCGAAGCACCAGTCTGGATAGGATTGATTGGCTGTTTCAGGAGAAGGGTAAAGTTGCTGTGTCCGTTTTTCCGAGGTCTGTGGGGAGGACAGACAGCTACACCTGCCCGAGTGCACCCTTCACATTTGTCAGATGAATATGGCGGTGACATGTTGCACTAGAAGAACTTTCGTGTTAGCATGTTAATTAATACCGTTTAGTAACTCTGCGATGTACCTTCTTCCGTGAGTCAGCACATCGAGCACAGGCAAGCATGTTTCGCTTCTTAATAGAAGAATCCACGTCAGAGCATGGAGCTCTATGTTCGCTAGCAGCATGAGTTACAATCGTGAAACTGCTTTGTGATGCAGAAAGTTGCCATGGAGCGAGAGTGGATTCTGCTAGCATATCTTAGTGTAGAAGATACGTTCACTCAGCAATTGAACTGACCATAGTACAAAACTCTACGGCTTTATAGTATAACAAATGAATAGTTGTGTGCGCACAGTACAGCTGCACGGTTTGAAGGACGGAAAATGCCTAAGGCGCACCGCACCGGGCGCATACGTTGTTGATCGCAAAGAGATTGCTGGAAGGAATGTGTATAAGTGCTAAGATTAGTCCTTATTCTAACTGCGGATTCACTGGCACGCACCGAACCGGATAGTCTGATAGGCGAAACGTTTTATAGAAAATGAATAGAGAAGCCATGGAGAAATACGAGTCGGATAAAGCCGGGAAATCCAATAATGTCTAATTTACATGCACCGAGCGAGTTATTACCTCAGATCTCCGTAGAACCACTGGCAAAAACCTTCATCGCCTCGGTTGGTTGGAACTGAACTAGAGAAAGCCTGTACTAATCATAACAAATGTTCTTTGCACACTGTTTCTAATATCTATGTCCAAAGCCAAGCATGAAATGAATCAAAATAATGTTTAACTTACGACCAAGCAATCAGAATACATGGAGCATGCCGAGCAATACCTCGTTTGAAGTGCAGGACTGTATAATTTGCAAGTAACTGAGGTTGATGCAGACTAGGGATGGCATTGTAAATGATCCGCGGCCTGTAACTTGCAGCTGTCGGCTGTCTCCGAGTCTGATATCACTAGGTTTTGTGTGTGACTGACACATTCGCCTATTTTCTCGGATGACCTCAATCGCCTCTTGCCTGGCCCATCACCAAGTGTTTATAACGAGACGCAGAACCGCCCGGCTAGCGCTCGGGAACAGCCAGGATAACCATTGTGCACGATGGTACATGTGGTCATGACTGATCGGTGAACTCAGGGCTCCTTTTACTGATGCTGCCACAGCTCATGCGATCAAGGTATCTTGAATAGATCCTAAATGTGCCGGTCTGAGCCCTGCGGCTGCAAACTGTTCGGCATGGCATATGCTCACAGGAGGGAAGCAATATCTGACAGTAAACTACAGGATTTGTAACTACATACCTTGCAAATGGTGCTAGCGTTCCACGACTTGGACCTTCCAACCTTTCACTAACATCGACTCGAAGATTCATGATACATAAATTTTTCAACAGCGAAAGATAAAATTGATGCAATGTACTTACTTTCCCGTCAGGCATTTGGTACTTTGTCGAAACCACTTTACTGTAACTGGACTGGTTCCAAGTTGGTTTAGCAAAAGGTGATTATATTGAAATCATCAGGACAAAAAATAACACCTTCCATACTCATGCCTTCACATGCATAGGTGCGTGATAAGCCCTGTGGCACAGAACTTACTTACAATGCCCAGCGGTACTGAGAAGAAATGCCGCCCATGAGGAATACTTCACCCATATGCTGGACCTATATATGACAACTATCACAGCACGACTAGAAAGCCTATAATCTTATTCTGATTCATACAACATTGTCCAACCAATGGTGTTGGTGGGACCGTATGGTGATCACATTCGTAATCACCACGTTCTTAGTGTGCACAAGGGAGTGCAGATTATCCTTAAATGAGGAGTTCGGCGTCCAAGTACGTATGTAACTCTATTCACTGAACCCTGATTAGTGATGAGTCTAGAGTGATTGTATCAATGTCTTCCACACAGTTGTTCACTGTCTAATATAAAAACCTCCCATCCATCGCATTTCGAGTATAAATCCAGACCTAAAGGTGGAGCATACCATCCTTATACCTTCCATCCTCCACACTTTACCATGCGCTCATGGCAAGTCTCCGCTTCAGAGAGCATTTTCTCAGTAGAAGTCCCTCATGATACTACAACTACTGCGGATTCTACAACCAGTTCATACAGAGTGACGCCACGGAACAAGAAACCATGTGGCAGGTGCTCTGACATGCAAAAGAAAGTGCGTATTTCCTATGTAATAACTGCCATCTTCACAACAAGCACTTAAATGAATAAAAAATTGTCATTCAAGTGTGACATTTCTCCACCGTACTCGTCAGCAAGATGTGGAGCATGTACAAAGGCGAATATTCCTTCCTGCCCGCCCCATAAAACTCGCCGCTCGAAAGCATTCAAGCGAGTGGCAGCTCGCATATTGTCATCTAATCAAGCAGACGCACACCTATTTAGACCGGTCGATTCGGTGGTGGGTGCAATATTAGTATCATTATAATAACCAGTTGGAAGCCAGAGCTAATAGGACGTGTTTTCTCCTGGGCCAGACTTTCGGAAATGATCCCAGTGCTGCAAAAAGCCAGCTAAGTCGGATTCAAGATGGCCAGACCACGACTCAGCATATCGCTATGGATTTGAGTCTCGACCTTTATGGCGCTCATACAACTTTGCATTCAAGTCCCGCCAGCTATCCTGCGTCTTCCGACTGTATATATGCAGCTCAGCGCGATGATCTGGACTCGTACATTTCTCTTTCGCCGATGAATATCGATCTCGCCGGTTTTCAGGCTAGGGATCCGACTATTAATAGTAGCTTCGAGTTCCCGACGTTTGTCCCAGCCTTTTTGCCTTCTCTGTGAATATGTACACCTGTGAGTGATAGACTGATCTAAATACCTCCGTTTCTAATTTTCATCAAGAATATCCTTAACGAGCCATGCGACAAATTTCTATATTTGAATATTACAACTCAAAATGAGAACGTTTAAAGGATATATAATTGCTCTGACAGTACAAATGATTGCTTTTTCAAGTTTTTGTCGTAGAAGAAATTAATACAATGACGCAATTCCGAACGGAAGGATATTAGCCAAATAGTTGTTCTATAGATCAGGCCTAGACCTTGTGGTAACCGCGGCGTCCGAAAGCTCGCTAGTGGGCTCGATGCATTTGAAGTCTAGAGCCACATTTGAATGGTGTTTTGTTCTGGGCCTAGGCCACGGCTAGCCGAGTGGATTGATCAAAGCAACCAAGTCATCGCCGGGAAAGTCTGATAGAATCAATTATCCTGTAAAGGATATGTAGCTTCGGCTGGCATTGGTCGACAGAGTATAACTCCATATAACGTATACGAGAGGAACTAGTTTCAACAATGTTTGCAGGTCTTCCCATTGAGAGGAGATACATTTATTGCATTTGACACTAAAGTTATACAATGAACTCCTAAAAATTATTACAGTTCACAGTTGATCTAGCATGACTCGGAAATGGTGGTATTGGCTCAAGTTGTCAGTATAATCGACTCCTGGTCCAGGCCATACTTTTGTCTACTCCGATCACAGCCTGTGTAGTCAATTAAATCACGCTAGACGTCGCACTATGTGGCAGTACTGTAAGAGTTTGTATTGAGATTCACTAGCCGAGAGTGAGGATACCCAGGCATCTATTGAGTGAGGGACAGATTATGCACAAATAATATTTCTGATGGTCTAGAACTCTAGGAATTACAAAGGAAACAAGCAACATGAATCAAACAGCACCGAAAATGTATTATTTCTGTCGTTGGGTAGATCTCTAATTGCAGAAAGTAGATGGTAGTTGTATATTGGTGGAAGAGAACGACCTGAGCCCAGGCCACTGTATAAAGCTGAATCTGTAGAGTCGGAAGAAGCAACGAATTCACCGGGATCAAAGGTCTGCAGCATTGTATACTGAAAAACGTCATACAGGCCGAGACCCAGACCAAAGGCCCCAGACTCAAAAAATTGAGCTGGTACTTGGGAATCAGTCGTATCGCTCGGCCCATATTGACTGAACACAGAAGTGTCTCCAGAAATATGGACCTAATAGGCAAATGAGATAATGTGGTTGATAGTAAGAGAAAGGCTCTCACAGTCGGGGTGGGAGTTCTTGGATGGGATGGTTCTGCCCGTTCATGAGGTAATGTGGTGCATGTCTCGTACCTAGTTGTCGAATAAGGTGGAGACATATTACACTGAAGAACACGAACATGTGAGCAAACTCATGTCGTGGCATAACTATGGATCTGTCAGAATCAACGCGTACTTTCTTTTGCATGTCAGAACATCTACCGCAAGGTTTCTTGTTGCGGGGGTTTCTCGTGTTGTTAGAACCGGAGGCGTCTTGCGGAACCTTCAAGTTGACGAGAAAATGCTTTCTGAAGCAGAGGCCTGCCAAGAACGCATGTACATAAAAATGCTTATGAGATAGTTCTGAGAGCTAATGTTACAAGTTGCCCCCTTTTATATCAAGCTTCATGTACCCAAAGGCTGTGTTTAGATGTCATTACATCTCTTGGGTTGCCGCACGTCCGCTCCACCCCGCCTCACCCGTCCTTATTAAAAGAAGTGACTAGAGTTGGAACAACGGAGTTGTCCTGACTACGCAAGTGAAGTTGTTATATCGGTGGGCCCATTGAATTGTTGAGCAGGAAGGCAGCGGCCGGACTGCTCTATTCACCAAGTATTTTCTCGTCCGGTCTTACTATCGGACAACAAAAGGACAGATATTTGTCAAGTTTGATGATTGGGATAATGACCCGCGAATACGTAGGCTCCGCGGCATAAGTGTTGTACTGCGGCAATACTATCTATAGTGTTTATCACCACTTTGGCCATGCACGTGTTGTTGGGAGATTGAGTTGGAGGGCAGGACAATTGACCAAGCGTGTTACATCAAAGAAGCGTGTATAGCCGATCAAGTTAACACCTCGGGAGGCACATTCAGTATTTCAAGTCACCAAACAAGGGACAGGTGGATCCAGTCCTACCTTAAACCCTTAAAGGAATGGGGAGATTGTATCTGTGTAATACCGAATGTTTGATACCTACAGATGCCCTCGGTACGAATGAGGTTGTTTTCGAGTATTAATTTGCATGGGCCTAAGTCGCTTGACTGTTCCATTGTCAGAGATTATTAGAAAATAGCTAAAATACACCTAACCTTGCCTTAGAGATGGTACCTCGCCCTGTGTGTAGAATAATTCCGCATATATCATGGTTACAAGAAATTGTATACTTCTTACATGGAGAAGGTCTTTGGGACACCTTGTACCCTCAAACCTTGTCTCGGTGACGTTGGTGATCTTTTTACATAGGTAAAATCCGTTGGTAACGGGGTGAACAGCAATGTCCATTGAATTTGTGTGTAAAGACCACGTGAACTTGGATTAATCCTAATGTTTCCTGTCCTGCAGGGGTTCTCCTACCCTTTAATTGTACTTCATAGTATCCGGAGTGCCAGTATTGTAAGAGTAAGGTCCATGAGTGGCATCGTGGCGAGATTCCTGGACAATTCCCTGTTCATCAACACCAAGGACAACGTCTTTCTTGCCCAGCTTGGCTTTGATGTAACGAGCGCCGGCCTTCTTGAGAAGAGCGCGCCGTCCAACGCCGCGTGCGTCTATGTACACAATCCCAACGTTACGTACTGATTGACCAGCGAGATATGAGGCATCTCGCATGTCGTTTCCATACCTAACAACAAGACAAACCAGATTTCAGTCATTTCATTTTTTAAAACCGGCGGCGAGTCAAAACGATTACTTATGACCGAGTGCTTCGCTAACCCGCAGCGTACCTTGCTCAATCAACTGTTTCGCTGATTGCTCCACGGTTGTGAGGAGCATGTCAGTTGAAAGGAATATCCTGTTCTTAAGAGGAAGCCGAGGGGGTGGTGCACCGGGAGCAAGTGGTATATGCGATCGTGATTGATCGACGACCCTCCCTTTACCCTTGTTGCTACCGCTCATGTAGTCTACCGCCTTGCCGATGGCATCATGAATGAGGCCTGTTGTCCTGGCAGTGACATCCACTGCCTTTCCGGAGATCTTGTGGACGCGCTGGACGTGCCCTCGTGTTCTCTCGGAAAATTCGAGCGGTTTCTCATTAGGCTTTGTATGAGCGATGTAGAACGAGGACGCGACACCCATTCCGGTGGTGAGAGCGTCAGTGGCTAGGACTATTCCTCGGCTAGAGATGCAAAGTTGATGAGAGTGCAGAGTAAATGGGAGGAGTGAACTCTACCTGATCAATGATGCTGTCTTCATCAACATATCTTGCTGCTCGATCGGGACTGGATGGACGTACACCTCCGTCCTCCGAGCCAATTCTTCGTCCGAAGGTATTTCAACGAACACGGGATCTTTCTCTCGTCCTTTAGTCTGTAGGGCGTCATCCTCACGAATATTGAATTGTTCCCCAAGACTACCGACAATCTCGCCATCTTCTTCATCAACGAGTACGAGACGGCCTCTAAGATCATCTTCATTTTTCTGGTTTTGTGGGAGTGGGGAAGGTGTCCTTGGAGGTAAAGGAGGCTTTTCAAGCTTTGTCTGCGATTGAGTCGGCGGTGGGGGCACCGGCCGCTTAGACTGCGCTGTGGAAGCATCAACTGACCCGGTCTGCCGATCTGTAGAGGTTGAGTACGCTGGTGGAGGTCCATATGCATCTACTTCCTGTACCGCGGCGTACTGTGAAAGTATCACTTCAAATGTTTCCAAGTCTTCTACTTCTGCGGGCGCATGCGGATTCGGGAGCTTCAAAGTCCATTTCTTGTTGGTACCTATGGCAGATGTACCATTCTCAAATATGAATGTTCGCTCTTTACGAATGTGGCGGACCACTTGAGTGGGCGAGATAACCATTTCATGAGGTCCTACTCGCAAAATTAGCCAGACATCTCTCTCCGATTCCGTCAGAAATGCAGCGGGATTTTCGGGCAGAGTGACGCATTCCAAAGCAAGCTGGTTGATGATGGGATCAGGTACTCCTGGTAATAGTGCCGTTACATCGTTGAGTGTTAACAGCAGGAAGCCTTGAGCACCGTGGGCAGGATGAGCTGCGGGTGATAGGGACATTGGAAAAGGAGCACCTACATCTCTTGGCTCACTCAGTACAAGATGTCTACCGTCGCTACCGAAGCACAGGATTTATGATGATGTCAGCTTACGTACATACAAGATCTGCAGCATTGCCACAACGGATGTTGCACAGCCCACACAAAATCAATAACAATTGACATTTTCGACCTCTTTTCGATAGTATAAATTATTTCGTTTAATACAATCTTGAAAATGTTTGTTATTCTATGCTAGGTCCTGAGTCAGGACGTAACGATAGCGTGGTTTACCCGACAAGATTCCCTCAATAGCCTTTTGACAGTCTTTCATCGGCAACTCCTCAATCCTAGAGGAAAGTAAGCCTTGGAATGCACGAGCTTCATGAAAGCGGAGGTACGTACCAAGGCTTTATACCTTTGTCCGCAGCGAGCTGTAGCATCTCAAGGGCCTCTGTCTTCGAGCCGAGATGCGAGCCCCCGATGAAGCATCCATTGTTGAGCAATGTGAAGCCAGTGATTGGTGGTAGAGGCTTTTCCGGGAGGGCCACGCAAACAAACTTCCCGTGGACGTTCAGCATCCTGCGAGCGATAATGATTGTCAAAACGGAAGAAACAGGAAACTTCGACGAAGGCCACTGACGAAAGGTACTCCTGAAGTGGGAACCCGTCAACTGCATCACGAGCGCAGATAATCATATCAAAAGCGTATTGATAGGGCTTCTCGAATCCCGGAGAGTCAAGGACATAGTGGTCAACACCCATTTTTCGACAGTCCTCCTCCTTGTTTCTGCTGTGTGAAAATGCAAAGACCTCGCAGCCGAGCGCCTTTGCGAAGAGAATAGCATAATGACCCTGTGTGAGACATGACATTAGTTCCGGGCGACAGAATGGCCAGAAGATATTGTACCAGCCCGCCGATACCAATTACGCCAATTTTCTTTCCCGGCCCGGCTCGGTTCCGGACGAGGGGTGAATAAACAGTTAATCCTGCGCAAAACATTGAGCAAGCATCCGCATTGCTCACACCTTCCGGAATCGGAAAAATGTATCGATGGTCTGCTATGATACCAGTCGAATAACCACCGAGAGTGCGCTAATTATATCCAAGTGTGAGCTAGGGAAGACAGGAAGCTTCGAGTGAGAGGAATTCCCGTACAACTCCATCCGGGTACTTATCTCCATACGTGTCTATGCGCTTGGCACAGTAGTTCTCATTGTCGTGCGTGCAAAGCTTGCAGTCATAGCACGACGCAATCTGTGCACCGACGCCCACACGGTCTCCCACCTTTATTCCCTTCACCTGGGAGCCGACGCGCACTGCTGTCCCAGCAATCTCGTGACTATCAACATTACGTTAAAACAATATGACTGTCACATGCATACATATAGTACTTACCCGACGACCAAAGGCACATTTATCGCGCCCCATCCCGAGCTCAATGTATGCACGTCGGAGGCGCAGACGCTGTGAATATCAATAAAACTATACGGCCCTGTCATAATCTCTCTAGGACCCTACATACCCACAGTGTGTGATGGCAATCTCGACATCTGTCTCAGCCCATTTCTTCGAAGGGTACTCAACAATGCTGAAATTCTTCCATAAATTCGCGTCTTCACAACTATTAACCTCGTATCAGCCTCACAGAAGCGCATATACTCACCAGTAATTCCGTATCCTTTGTACGTCTTCTGTGCCATGGCAAGTTCAATATTGTGAGAGGTAGAGCAGTTCGAAATGTAACACCAGGTGAGAGAGTTGAGGAACGTTGTGAAGGACGGGGAAAGGTCGGGATGTCGTTCTATATAGCTTCACTGAACGGGAAAGCGGGCCGACTATACCACTCACCGGATCGGCAAAATGTTGAGACCACAGCTGACGTACGCAAATCTTCGACATACGGAATCTTAAAGCTGCCAATACAGACTTCCACTGGACATACATATCTTGTTCAGTGCTGTTTAATAGCTCGTTCGACATCTTCTGAGCCCATCTGTGCAAAGATAGGGATTTTGGCAGTTCCATTCAGGAATTGGGCTGAGTAATTTTGCAATCCATTTACCACACTTGGTATATGATTGGACAAGGAACTGTCTGCCACCTATTTCTGGCGTTTTCTTTTAGCGTTCATCGACGGCGTCGGTGAGAGTGGCAAGGAGAAGAGTGTGCTATTATTTGATAAATGGGCACACGACTTGAAGAAGAGATGACTAAGAACTGCCTAATTTGGAGGTATGGTGTGCAAGTGATGACGTTCCCCCGCCATGACTGCACTACACCGTACACGACGACATGTTCTCCTGGCAGCGACGAATTCGAAAGGCCCTGTTAATTCTTTCTCTTATATCTTCAACAAGCGCTCTGGATCTATGGCCTTTCCCTCCAAAGAGATTCAAGGGGAATGCATTGCTAGAGGCCGGGTCACTCGCGTTGGGTAATGACGAGCGTGCAATCGCGTTCGGTGATTTCAACGGTGACCAATTGTGAGTCGTCAAGAACATAAGCTACCCCTTCAACTGAATCTTTCATTCGTGTTACGGTACTTGTTTAATGAAGTCTAGACATTGTGACTTTGGATTCTGGCGCGCGGAAAGTGACGGTACACATTTGGGATCACCGTAAGTTCGAAGCATCAATCCACTATGCCCAAGGTGGCTCAACCTATCGCAGAGTCTTTCATATTCCGTGATGCTGCATCCTTTACGCACTCGGAGCAAATATACAATGTGGTCCCCGGAGACTTTACCCATGATGGCACGCTAGACCTGCTCGTCATGAGTCGTGGCTCCTCGCCTTCCGAGATCAAGATGGCTTTGTATGTTGGCTCTCCAGGGCGTGGATTCGGTAAATATTCGTCTTGTTTACAAATACTAATCTAACTTGCTTCGTTAGAATCATCCCCGATATCCGTCCCTTCGTCAAACGCCGCACAACCAATTCCATTGGACGCAAATGGCGATCTAAGTATCGACTTGCTGGGGATACGGCCAGGCTCGAGTTCCTTAAGCATTTGGAACAACGTGTTCAATGGCTCGGATCCGAACACATCCGTATTTTCTGTGTCAGTTCCTGTTTATCCTTCTAAATTGCGAAATCTTACTCCGCCTTCTTGTTTTCTTAGGACTGATGCTCCATTTAACGGTGCAACGTGCTCCATATCAAACCCTCATAGCAATGCGGTCGTCGATCTCGACGGAGATTGTCTAGCAGGTGTGTATTTCACAACTGATTGACTCAAAAATTGACTTTGGTTGCCCACCCTGTAGATGTCTTTCTTGTATGTGACGATGGAACCGGGAGTCAAAGCTTCCAGATCTGGAGGAATGACAAGAACGACGGTTTTACGCTTGCCCAAACGGGACGTCTTCCCTCTGGCTTGCAAGCAATATCATTCGCCGATATAGACCGAGACGGAACTATTGACATGGTGTTTACGACTTGCTCTTCGGTCTCTCCCTCTACAGGAATCGGCTCTGGATGCGACATCCACATCGCATATAATAAGCAACTGCCGCTCTGTACTTCTCCGACAACTTCTGGACTTCGTAATGGAAAGAAAATATGCAGGCAGCCTGATCAACTTTGTGCTGCGGATCCCGACTTTCAGTTTGACTTGAGTGAACGGGACGGTAATGACGTACGCCCTACTATTGATGTTCAATACTATATCACTGATGGTCTCGTATTTCAGGGATATGTGAAATTTCCGGTGACCGACCTCTATCCATCAAGCTCACTGCTTGTCCGTGATACTCGCCCATCCCCGCCAGTACCAATACCCATCCATCTCGGTGACGCGAATCTCGATGGCTTTCCAGACTTGCTCTTTATCACGACGACTGATCCTCACGGTGGTTTCCTCGGAATAGGTGAAACCAGTGAACGTACGCCACGCTTAGCGCTTTCGATGCCGTGCGCAAAAGGTATTGCCGGATGCGATACTAATGGACGCGGGCGCGTTGGGTGGAAGGTTGTAAAGAAAGAAGCAGGGCCAATGAATCGTGTGCTTGACGCCACTGGTGTCTCATTTCTAGACGTCGACGAGGATGTACGTATCCCGTACCGTTCTCGCCTGGCTTTACTCTGACCCTTCTTGGTAGGGCACGCTTGATATTCTTGTTCAGAGGACCGGAGAGCAAGGTCAAGGACCTTTCCTATTTGTCCAGAATAATTTTTTCTTTGACGCCTTCTTCCTCAAAGCCATTGGTAGGTCGTCATCTATGGCTATAACCTCTTTGCTGACTTTAAGCTATGAAGTACTCAATGGGGCATGCGACAACGGCTGGTGTTCAGGGCGTAATGGTTCAGGTCGCTATCATGTAAGCATCCAGTAACTCTTTAATGCCGGTAAATTGACGCCTGTTAGCCTTTCGGAGTCAGCTACTCTGGTGCATCATACAAATACACCATCCTAGATACTACAGGTCGTCGATCAGCTGCTCAAGGTACTTACTGCCATAATCCATTCTCCGAACCAAGCCTTCATTGACACATCTTGGTACTATTGCAGTCGCACAACTACCACAAACGGCCTATCAGTCACTTCTTACACCTTACTCGTTCTTCGGTCTTGGACGGACAAATAACTACATCGAGAATCTTTTTGTTGGTTCAACAAAGAAGAATACTTCACATTTCGTAAATATGGAAGGCGTCATACCGAACTCGAAGGTGGTCATCTATCCTCCGGCTAGTGACGATGGATCTTGGAGACGCGAGTTGTATTTGCGACCAGGAGCATGGATTCCTTGGGTTACGCTTACGGTTGTTGTGACAGTTATCGTGTTGGCTTGTGTTGTGTTTGCTCTGCACCTGAACGAAAAGGTACGCAAGCTTACTTTGGTGTGGTTGATGATGACTCACGTGCTCTTCTTCACTACAGCGTGCCGACGAGTTGGAGCGTAGGAGAGCATCACATCACATTAACTTCGACGCATTATGACCCATGTTCACTTTGCGTTTCCCATTTTTGGTCGACGTCAGGAAACGTGTTCATCGGTTTCACATACTTATTTATAATAATCAATTTAATTGGTTCAGGGTACATCCCGCCTGAGTCCGCAAGACCAAAAGCTACGTATGTGCTATACATTCGCCATTGGATTGATTCATGCAGTAGGTATTCGCATGTCTCGTGAAGTACAATGACACATGCTAAGATTGTGTTATGTATGTAAGAGTAAAATGATAATCAATCTGTTTATCTCATACATTTGTCGCTTTGCTTCCGATCAGTTTATATTTGAATGAAAGTTATCAATGTGGAGCAAGGATCTCGAGCTACGTACAATATTTTTAGGGACCTATGTTGGGAAGTACACCACTACCACTGGAAGATGTCTTTATTCCTGAGTACACAAAGACCTGAGAAGCTCTGACAATAGTGCAGTACCTGTCTTCACTTACAATTCGCAGGCAGTCCACTTCACATTCACAAGCAGGATTCTCCTTAATACAGTGAAACAAATGTTCAGAATATGTAGCAATAGTGGTTGGATTTACGTCACGGTATCTTGCATGGGATGGGACGAGACTGCATTGCATTGGTGGAGCATTACGTTACATACCGCTGTGCAAAGTGCGCCACTTTTGTATGCTACATCGAGTGCAAGCTATTAGGCACAAGTTATTAAACCCACGTAAATCTCCTGCACCAACTTGAAGCACTCTGGAAAGGATGTCTAACAAGGGTGAACTAAAGAAGAAGAAAGAGAGATGGCAGCATATTGTGACGTACAAAAGGGAAGCTCAAGCTGATAGGGAACATACAGAAGTGAAAGATGTTTTCGAGAATGAGGGAAACAGTAAGCTCGTCTCATTTATAGCAAGTTGCACTGTGGAGTACTGTAACTACATCTTAGAATACCCAAAGGCTACCAGAATCACTCTCAGCTTCAAGAAACCTAACCACTGGGTGGCTTATGGTAATTCTGATAATAGATTGCACTCTCGAATCTGCTAAGCTTTTCCCTGGAAGCATGGATTGATGGTTGTGACAGTCCTATACTTACTGGAGAGGAAGGGAACGAGCACCATTCCCGAGATAGTGCAGTTATCAAATTGAAGGAAGGTCTCAGTAAGAAGTTTAGCAACTGTTCTTGTGTATCACTGACTTGTTGCTGCAACGTAGAGAAATATGCTGCCGGAACATATGATGATGATGAATAGAATCTAAAGTGCTGATTCGGAAATGGATGTGCAATGATTCATAATCATGATGAGGCAATACATAACTTCTATTGTGGCACTACATTTTGTTTTGCACTTGCTAGTATCATATCTATTCATTGGGAGCGTTTTCATTTGTCATGAAGTGAATACACTTAGTGGCAAGCATTGATAGATGTTCTGGGCTGATGATGTGTTGTAAGATGAGAAGCCTTACAGGTGGAGATATCTCTATAAGCCTAGATCGATGTTGTTTCACACGATGAAAGAAGTCACCATGACGTCTTTGCATATGGCAATATATTCCCACGTGTAAATGCTGTATCCCTTCTCTTGACCACACATGAGAACTAATGCAGTAAGTGTCTGCATATCTGTAGTGAATATAACAAAGCTACATTATGTGTGAAAGAGACTATGATGCTTAAACAAAATCAATATAGATATTACTGCCTACATTTGTCATATTTGCCTTTAAGCTGCTTATATTTATGGCAGACATATTAGTATTATATTCTGAAGCATATTCTTATTGTTCAATCAGATGCCTGCCTTAGAATATTGTCTAGTACATGACAAAAAATATGCTTGTTTATTATATTCTGATATGTCTGCTGTAATTCAAATGAAGTATAGTACTACCTTACAATTCATTATTATATTGTTAGAGCTTAGAATACAGATTGACACAGTAGTCAGAGTCAGAACAGTAAACAGGTCACATTATTGAAGAGGCCAATATTGGTGACAACTGTGTCCTAGTAATAATAATTGTACTGATACTGGTACTAGTACTAATAATGTTGGTACAGTTTGCTACATTCAATCATTTACAATCAGTACTCTATTTATAGTAGTCTACTTTGTTTGCAATGTATGTTACATAATCAATCTAGAAAGCAAACATACATACCAATTAAATATAAAAACTCATAGTACAATTCTCAAGGCAATTACAACCTGAATCTCATTATCCACCATCATACAACAAGCACTAGCTACTTTATAGTCCAACATGAGTCAGAGGCATTCCTCCAACCATACTTCCAATGACAAGTATAAGGAGACATATGAAACATTCTTGTCAGAGCTCAAACGGAGAAAGAAATACATTGATGACATAATACAAGCAAAGAACGATTCAATTACAAGGCATAAAGCATGCACATCTGGAATCAATCAGTTAATTGAGAAGGCTAGAGGATTTGAGAAAGATATTAATACTCAGACATACTCTAATGTACTCAAGGATGAAGCAAAGAGGCCAATTAAAACCCTAATTAAACTTCTACTAGATCAGTCCTATGTGGCACATGACCAGGACGGTTCACTAGCAGTTGATAAGGCTGATGCTGAAAAACAGTCTAAAAGGTATATACAGTTCCGTAAGACAGTTGAAGAGAAGCATAAAGATACCTCTGACTACTATAATGGAGCTCAGGAAATAAAGCAATTCTTGGATGAGAATCTACCTATATATCCTTTAGAATAATGGACAGATAGTATATGCCAATAGTCATCTTGTTTAAAGATAGATAAACTCATATTTTACAATAAAATATGACTGAGACTACTACTGTTTAGTAAGACTAGTGACAAAATTCATTAAAAAATCTTGCAAAGGAGTAACCTCAGAAGCTTTATATGAATAGTATAGTACTTGTCTTCTCTCACATCTCGCAAATAGTCCGCTTTGCAAACAGTCCACCTATGTAACAAAATAATCGGATCTATGAATCTCTTAGGGATGAAACTGCTTCGTAGCAGTAGATCGCTGCTTTAGATCGCATCGTGCAAAGTGCTCCAACTCTGTAAGCTATAAAAATTGCAAAGTACTGTGTAATAGGCATAAACCCCACACTACTTCTGCGTCAAGAACAGTGAAAAGAATGTCAGGTAATGGTGAACCGAAAAAGAGTAAACTAGAAAAGAGTGAACCAAAAAAGAAGCGAACGTGGCAACACAAGGTTACATACGAAAGGAAACTTCAAGCTGATAGGGAAAATAAAGAGGTGAAGGATGTCTTCGAGAATGAGGGTAACAGTAAGCTTGTCTCATTCATAGCAAGTTGAGCTATGGAATACTTAAACCCTGGTAGAATACCCAGATGTTATCAGGCTCATCATCCGCTCCAAGGGACGTAAACAATGGTCAGCTCATGGTAATAGCGATAATAGCTTGTACTGCTTTTGAATGCACTGAATTCTTTTGTGCAGCGTGGATCGAAAATCGTCCCAAACCTGACATGATAATTACTGGAGACGAGGAAGGGAATGAGCACCATTCCCGAAGTGCTGCAGTTAAGAAATTGAAGGAAGATCTTAGTAGGAAGTTTAACACCTGTTTTCGTGTGTTGCTGACTCACTGTTGCAATATAGAAAAATATGCTGCTGGTACATACTACGACGATGAGTAATAGAGTGTAAGATGTTGATTCGGAAAGGTTGTATATGCCGCGGGCCATATCGAGGCTCTGTGTAGCTTGTACGCTAGCACTGTATAAAGTTTGTTGCTTATAAGAATTGTAATTGTCCTTGTGAAAGCATTCATTCGCCATTGAAATGAGTGTACCGACATTACGTCTTCGTATTTAGTAATACAATCCCACGCATAAGCACCGTGATCCTGGACTGCGCGTGTCATCTTCTCTCCGCGACCAACGCCTCACCCACATCCTTTACAGAGTACTGCGTCGACCGTAGTCAAAATGGCCCAGCAATGGGGCGCAGGTCAGCCTGGATTCCAGTATCCAATGCAGACGGGCTTCGGCGGTAACCCTGGCCAGTTTCAACAAGGCTTTGGGGGCGGAGGGCTTGGCCCGCAGCCTACTGGGTTTCCTGGCCAGCGTCCGCCCTTCCAACAGCCGCAACAGACAGGCTTTCCGGGTATGGGTGGCATGCAGCCTCAACCGACCGGGTTTCCGCCGGGAGGTAGTGGTTTTCAGCAGCAACCTCAGCAGGTACCTCCAGTACCGCCCGTACCACCTCTACCAGGAAACTTTGGTGGATCTGGCTTCGGCGGCGGCCAACAGCAACAGCTTCGCCCACCACCTCCACCACCTCCGCAACGCAGCTTTCTAAATCCGTCACCGGGTTTTGGCGGCGGCGGCGGTCTTGCACCACAGATGACTGGTTTCCCTGGTGCTTCTCCGCTCGTTCCTCAAATGACGGGTTACGTCGATCCACGATTGCAGATGATGTCAAGCACCTTCATGCCTGCTAACCCATCCATGCCGTACTCAGGTGGTGTACCGCAGTTTGCAGGCGTGCCCAGTGCGCAGCCCGGAACTTCCCTGCATCAAACCATCCAGCAGTATAACCAAGAGTCTAGTACACCGAGGATGTCATGGGCTTTGTCCAAGTCCGAGAAGAAGAACTATGATCAAATCTTCCGTGCGTGGGATAACCAAAGCTCAGGGTTCATCAGCGGTCAAACGGCGCTCGACCTATTCGGACAGAGTGGATTGGATAAAAATACGCTGGCGAAGATATGGGCTCTTGCCGATGCTGACAATCGGGGTAAACTGAACCTCGCTGAATTTCATGTTGCTATGGGTCTTATTTACAGAAGTGAGTATTACTTAATGTGTCGCTTTTTTTTACGTATTTTAACTTTTTCCAGAGCTCAATGGCATGGAGGTTCCTGATCAACTCCCGCCTGAGCTTGTTCCGCCGTCGGCTCGGGATCTTGACACATCTGTTAATTTCCTCAAGGATATACTAAAACACGACACATCGCGCCCTGGGTCTGCAAGCAGTGCAGAGGCGATTTCTCGCAGTAAAGTTCGCTCCTTCAATGACACAAATGCCCCAGGTGCCGGAGGACGGAAAGATGGTACCGTGTATAGGCATACGGATGATGATGACACGGGTGCCTTCTATCAGAGTCGTTCCCGACACATTGATCGTCGAAATGTACGCATTGGGAATGAGTCTCCTGGTGAAGACTTGGAAAGTATGCGCCGTACGCTGGAAAATACTGCGAGGATGTTGGATCGTAGCACAGAAGAAAGTCTTAATCGCACACGTGAGGATGAGGAACTCGAGCGCGAAATGGAGGACCTACGCTACCGTGTGAAGCGTATCCAGGAGGACCTTGAGTATGTCTCTCGTGGACCGCGCAGCAGTGCAAAAGATGAAGAACGTCGGAAGCTCGAGCGAGATTTGTTGCACTTAATGCACGAGCGTATTCCTGAAGTACAAAGGAAGCAGGAAGATAGGGAGCGCCGACGCGAACGGGAAAGAAGAGAATGGGCTCGCGAAAGAGACAGGCGCAATGAACGTTTCGGACGTTATGATGACCGAGGCAACGACCGAGACGGTGACTATGGGTATTCGCGTGGGACGTACGACCGCGACCGCTCAAGGGATCGAGACTATGACAGAGACCGGGATTACGATAGGGACCGCGACTATGATAGGTTCCGTAACAGAGACAGGGATCGTGAAAGGGACAGGGATAGAGAAAGGGACAGAGATTATGACCGTGACCGTGATCGCCCACGCAGCCCTCCAGCGGCAGCCCGCTCACCACCACCAGCGCCTCCTGCTGCTCCAGCGACCGCAGCGAGCAGACCTCCTCCAGCCCCAAAGCCGCCGGTGTCTCCTGCACCTCGCAAATTAACGGAAGCTGAGCTCCGTGAGCAAGCAATGCGTCGTGTGCAAGATCGTATGCGTGCTCTCGGTGTCGTCACGCCTGCTCCAGCTGGTGATGCGCCTGCGTCACCGAGTGTTGACACGACTGTCGAGGAACGGCTTGCCCGCGAAAAGAAAGAAGCAGAAGAAAAGGTGCTCCAAGCAGAGCGCGAACTTGAAGAACGCGAGCGTGCGAGACGCGAGAAGCTTGAAAGTGAGAAGGCCTTGAAGGAAGGAAGGCCCGTAACTCCTAGTCCTAAGGCTCCCGCTGCAGCATCCCCACCTGCTCCAGCGCCTGCACCTGTCGTTACGAAGCCGCCGCCGCCGCCAGTACACAAGCGTGCCCCAGCACCTCCGCCTCCCGCGAAGCGAGGCCAAGCACCCCGCGCTCCGCCTCCTCCAGCATCTCTTGCTAATGTCCTTTCTGCGCCGCCTCGAACCCCAGTTGCTCCTCCTGCCGCTCCTCAAGTCGATCCCGAAGAGCAGATGATTCGTGAACGTGAGGAACGGCTCCGAAAGCAACGCGAAGAACGTGCGGAACGCCTTCGTCAACTCGAAAGGGAGGAAGAGGAGATGCGCCGCCAGGAAGAAGAGTATGAGAGGCGAAGGAAGGGATTCCTTTCGAGCCCCGCGAAACAGAGTCCAGCATTGAGCAGTCCGATCCAATCTCCTCCCGCTCCGCCACCTCCACCCTCATTGCCCTCGGAACCGATTGCCTCCCCGCCAAGCGGGGCGTCACCTCCAGCACCGGGTTCATCACCGTCAGCTAATGAAAAGCCTAGTACGAACCCATTTAGCAAATTTATGGGTCAAGGAAACGGTTCAGCAGCGACACCGACCCCTCCAACGACAAGTAGCAGTACGAACCCCTTCTTCAAGCCTCCTGTTGCTCCAGTAGCTCCTCCTGCACCAGTGGCATCCCCACCTGTTTCGCGCAGTCCAGCACTTCCTGCAATCAAGACCAGTTATAATACAGTGCCGCAGGACGATGAGGACTGGGATGACGCAAAAGAAATCGAGGAAGACGAAAGCAGCGATGATGAGATAACCAGCTCACGAAACGCGCGTGATATGCTTGCACAACAGTTGTTTGGCGGTCCACGTCCACAATCCGCGGCTGGCTCGCATCCACAGACGCCTGCACCAACCTCGGCCCCTCCTGCCCCGGCTCCGCCAGCCCCGCCGCCTGCTTTGCCAGTGGCCGCGGCTACAGCGCCTGTTACGCCGAGCTCACCGGTTGCACCCCCGCCACCGCCAGTCGCTCCCGTCGCTCCTCCACCCCCTATTGCACCTGCTGCCCCGCCTCCTCTTGGAGCACCAGCTGCACCACCCGCAGGTGGTGGTGATCGAAGTGCGTTGCTGAGTTCCATTGTAGCCGGAGCACGCCTGAAGAAGACTGTCACGAACGACCGCAGTGCAGCTGCTGTTACTGGACAGGTTGTTGGCGATACAGCACCACCTCCACACATCAACGCAGCACCACGTCCTCCATCTCCTCCTACAGTAGTATCAGAGCCGGAACCTATGGTGGAAGCTTCGTCGGTACCCCTAAGCCACGAGGCCAACACCCGGTCGAACTACAGACAGTCCGTCGACTGGTATGCAGGTCTTGCGGCAGATCAGGGAGCTGTTTCACCCCTCCCGACGACCGTTGAAGAAAATGAGGAAGAGGAACCATCCCATCTACCCGCAGCTGTCCCGGCAATCCAAGTTCAGGAAGCTCCTGCAGAGGAGACTCCTGATCCTTTGGAGGATGTAGACAAGTCAAAAGGTATTCATTTCTGGCTTTACTATTTGTGAAATGACGCTGAACAATACTGCTCATAGAATATCGCGTTCGCACCTTATATCCGTATGAGGCGCAGAGACCCGAGGACATTAGTAAGTGAATGTTAAGCTATCATTGGTACGGGTGCTAAACATGCATGCATTCCTTTTAGCATTCTCGGAAAATGTGATTGTAATCGCTCATCCCTCAAAGTCGGGAGGTGCATGGTGGTATGGTTCGACTGTAAAAGGTGGAAAGACTGGTTTCTTCCCAAGCACGTATGTGCAAGAGCTAGAAAATGGTGAGCTTGCCGATGCACCACAATTATTGATTACGGGCTAAAGCGTGTTTTTCTCAGTGAAAGCGAAGGCTCTATACTCGTATTCTGGCGGAAACGCAGACGAGCTTCCATTTGTCGAAGGTGACGAACTCACGATTGTCGACCGCAGCGAAGCAGACTGGTGGAAGACTGAACGAGGGGGAGTGATATTCATCGTGCCCGCCGCATACCTGGAAATCGTCGAGGGTTAGTCATCGCTCTTAAATAGACTCGCCCTCTTGAGTCATTCTCTTTCTGCTCATTTCGGCGGCAATAGACTGAAATCTGCTTCTTCGTTTTTCTCTCTTTGCACATGTATGACATCGGAACAATAATAATATCTATATGCCGATCTATCGTTACCTGTTTTTCTTTTGTACGTATTCCAGAAGACGGAAGCGATGGCCCCAGATCTGCGCTTGTAGTAAATAAGCACGGCGACGCGCAAGAAGACGCGTCAAAAGCTCCAGTCACCCAGCACGCCGACAAAGACTCTTTCTCATCCACTATCATGCGCCTGCCTCCAGACCTGCACGACAGCTCGGACGACGACGATGGCTCAGATGACGAATATCACTCGTTTGAGTCGTCCGAGTCCGAATCAGAGGACGATGGGGAGGTTGCGAAGACGGACGAGGAAAAGAAAAAAGAATACGAGGCACGTGAGCTTGAACGACAACGCGTGCTCGAAGCGGCCGGGCTTCTCGTGAAAAAACCCAGCAGCGAAGCCATCGGTGATGGTGCACCGCCTCCTAGACCTGTGCGTCGGCGTTCAACAGCCGCAAGGCGGCGACGTGCGCCGCCAGAGACCCCGAATAGGCTGTCGTTTACCTCTTTACCGTCGTTGCCATCGGATAAAGACCTCCCTTCGACGCCAACTTCTGTTCTTCACGTTGACGATGCCTTTGAGCGGTATGAGGCGTACAGGAACTCGAGGAACTATAGGCTTTCGATGTCGTCTATTGATACTGGCCCACCTTCCCCTGGATTGCCACCTTCACTTTCGGCGACACCATCTAAAGAAAGCACTACAGATGGCAGGGGTCATTCATCACATATCTTCAAGTTCCTGACCCGAAGCAAGACACCGGAAATTGATTCAGAGAGGCCACGACTACAAATATCGGGACCCATCATGAGTTCGAATAGTACCTTGGATAGCCCCAGCATGGATTCAAGCAGTGCTTTTGGCTCGGTAAGTCTCCTATCACTTTTGAGTTAGGGGTTCCAGCGCTTATCCGAGACGTGGACCAGTCATGGGCCAGCCTTCTTGGCAGAGACACTGTGGAAGGCATTCCTCCACCAGAGCGAAAGCGTCAAGAGGTGTGTTAAATTTTCATGCGCCGTTCGTTCCTAGTTTAATCTCAATCCGTGTCAAGGCAATATTTGAGCTCATCAACACGGAAGCCGCGTATGTTAGAGATCTACAGCTCATTGTGGAGGTACACATATGCAAGTTCGCTACTGAACATACAATTGATACGTGGCATTTAGGTATTCTACTCTAGCATGGTTTCGATGTTAAGCGAGAAGGAGGTGACAGTGGTCTTTGCCAACATCGAAGACCTCCTATTAGTCAATACTGTAAGTCACTCTGTCAAACTGCCACGTCTCCTAATTTCTGACGGCTATGCAGACGTTCCTGAGTTCCTTAGAAGAACGGCAAAAAGAGTGTCGACTGTACATCGATGTAATTGGAGATTTACTTGATCGGCATATGGTTAGCATGGGTGTATATGCGGTATGTTTGTTCTTGCTTGACAGTTGCTTTGAAACTAAAGTTTTATGACAGGATTACTGTATTAACCAAGGGAATGCTATCAGGATTCTTCAGTCAATCAGGAATGCCAGACCAGATATCGCTGCCCATTTACAGGTACGCATAAATATATGTTTTTCTTTGACATTGGACGATGGATGGAGAAATCGATGAAGTCACGTGCTTTTGCACGGTTGTTGATGCTGGCTGGTGAAATTTGTGATTACGAGTGGACGGGCATCGATAGTCATTGAATCTCACTGGACTTCACATCCACTGTGCTGAAACTTGCAATTTAGAAACTACGGGAAGACCCTACCGTTAGAAACCTTGACCTATCGAGCTATCTCCTCGCGCCAAGTAAGTCTGACAATAGACCAACTATTCTGAGCCCTCATCAAGAGCTTTCTTCAAGTGCAACGAATAACACGATATCCACTGCTAATACGCCAGGTGCGCTCTGTAGCTCCTTCGTGATATGATTAATTACTCAGCCTTGACGTGTTCAGATACTTAATCATAGCGAAGATGAATTTGAACGCAAGCAAATAAGTTCCGCGCTTGACTCCGTCGAGCGAGTCTTGAGCTTCATCAATGAAACCATCCGGGAACAAGAAGGCCGGGCACGCCTAGAGGCTGTGTCTCGGAACCTTTACGTTGGCCAAGGGTGAGTCGTCTTAAAATCTTTAGGTTAGTTTGAAGAATTTATTATTGATATTTTTTACTGAAGGCGACTTGATCTGGCAAAATGCACGAGTTACATGGGACCGCGAAAGTTGCTCAAGGAAGGTACGATTGTGAAGCATAAGAGTGGAAGGAAATTGCGAATGTTCCTGTGTAACGACATGATCATCCTGACGGATGAGCACGTTACACGTCTTTACAAGATGGTGCGTGTTGTAAACTGGTTGTCACCGGATATTCTGACTTAATTACCGGTCATAGCCTATTCAACTGAATCAAGTAGAAGTTAAAGACTTTGGGAAAGGTGCGTTCTCCTCGAAGTCAAAGTATTCCAACGCATATACTCATCGTTACGTTTAGACGAACTCTGTTTTCAACTTAGCTTTGCTTATCCGCGGGGCGGAGAGGCGATGGCGTTCAAAGCAACTTCGTCTAGAGACTGTTTAGAATGGAAGAAGGCGATTTCGAGCGCGTGTAGACGGGCAAGAGACGTAGAGCGTAAAGCAGCGCGTGCTAGACGCTGACAATGATTTAATTTCTCGGACTTGAAGTCAATTTGACGCTCTTTTTTTGGGACATTTTTCCTTTTTGATATTTATCACATACCGTTTCTTCTTCTTAAACAAATTGGCGCTTGTAGCTTTCCACTCTCTCTCACTCCACGTTACTCCAATATCTCAAAGAGACACTCGTTCACCTAATGACTTATGTACAAGCCAAACAGCCAGCAGTGCTGAGGTTGTTAGTCTGTAGTATACAGTACATCACTCGCCACAATTGATAGTCTTGACCACTACTTTATAAAATTTATACTTCCCCTTTCCGGCAAATATTATTCGTCTCGTTGTGTCGATATGGCTGAATTGAAACAATGCCGATGAGAATGTGATTTTGACGATACAGTGATAAGATGTCGTACACTACATAATATTTGCAACATGACTTGACCCTCGGCTCTCGAAGAGGTTGCATCACAGTTCGTCGCCACCGCGCTTCACCCTCATCTCCGGCTCTTGCACATCCACCCTCAACACATTCGTATTCTTCCCATCACTCCCGTTACCAACTTCACCCAACTTATACAAAGCACTCAAAATATCCTCGTTCTTCTCACTCCATATGTCCTTCGGTACGCTAAGGAGCTTCACATCGCTCAGTTCGCCGACTTGTCCGATGTCTTCTATACTCGGGTAAGACGAGAGGGTGATGCGGTTGGATGGAGATGTGTAGGGAGAGGATGGAGAGAGGATTATGGAGAGGTAGACGTTGGAAGTGTAGTCGAGAGCTGGGGGTTGAGGCATTGATATTTTGGTTTTATAATGATAGTGATATTAGTATGATTAGACAGAGTAAATCGGTGATCACGCAGGTGTGGCGATACGTCATCGCGATTTCTTAATCGGGATATTATGTCCAAATCTGTTGAAAAGCATTTTCTGTATTACACTACAAAAGCACCTAATATAATTGCCTTTCCTCAAATGTCAGCTTTCATTCTTCTAATCATCATGCTCAAGATTAATATCTCTTACCTAGACCTTCAACGTTCGCGAAGAAACCCATACAATTTAGAAAATCCCACAAAACGAGCCATCCATCTCAGTAGCATCTACATTAATAGCTGTCGTCACATCGCTCTGACCCGTAATCTCCCTCATAGCTTCTTGTGAGATAACAAATCCTTCGCTCGCAGAATCGACAGCGAGTAATATTGTATGCGGTTCCCGGGTTCCTGCGAGTGAGAGCCTCCAGCAAGTGCCGCATAACGATGAATCTGAGTTGCCGATAAAGACCAGGCCTCCGATACGAGGAGAAGAAGGAAGCGAGCCGAAAGTAGGGAACTGGGAAGAGAGCTGAGTTCCACAAGTAAGGGTGCTTGTGAGGAGGGTTGGGTTGTCATAGTTGGGGTTGACAGTTGCAGGTAAGGTGAATTGGGCTATTGCTAAGCTTGTGAAGCTAGCGAAGATAGAGAGAGAAGTGGTGAGCTTCATGACTTGAGCAGTGAGAGTGAAGGAAGGAAGAACTTATTGCTGAAGTCGACAGTTTGACTGGCTTGCCTGGGCTTTATACACTTGAAGATGAAACACCAAATAATGCTGTTTATGATTAACAGTTCCGACTATGTAGAGCCGCATTCTCCGGAAGTCTCAAAGGCACAAATTAAATTTAGACCAAGGATGGAATGATGGTGGACGTTGTTTCTCCTCCCACCTGACCAACTTGATTCTTAAATTGTGTATGCAGACGTGTGCCTGTTGTCCCGCTTTTAGCCTGTCAGGGCAATCTGCTATGATCATACCCTCGAATGCGGATGTATGATACGTGCTTGTTGGTACATTCTGGAGGTTGATGAATAGATTTAGAAAGGACCACTTCAAGCTTCTAAGCTAGCAGACGGTTGTGGAGAACCAGTATTCGATTGGACTGAGTTCGTTGACTGCTTTTATCCATACATGACCTGTCAATACGTTTCTCAGCTCCTTCTACACAATACAATGCATTTATCAGAATGGTACAGAACATGCATGAGGAATGAATGCAGCCTATCCTGTAAACTGGAATATTGGTTCGTCTTTTCATAGTGATTCAAATGATAGCTGACCTTAATTCTTCCCTGGCAAAACGTTACAAAATGTGTTATCCACCTGAGTAGCCTCAACGTAAATAGGATCGTCATCTCCACCAGTCAGGTCATCAAAGGCTGTCCCGGAGATAAGAAAGCCCTCTGCCGCAGGATTGATCATGAACACAAATGTATGTGGTTCATCGCGTCCTTCCTGTGAGAGTCTCCAGCAGGTGCCACAAGCTGATGTGTCCGAGCTAGTTATGAACGCCGTAGCGCCGAGACGCGGGAAAGCCGGGATATCGCCTGACTCGGGGAACGTAGGGGATAGTATGCTCCCGCAGGTAGTAGCAGCCATGATTATGAATGGGTCGTCGAAACCAAAGTCTACTTTGGCAGGGAATATGGACTGTGACAGAGCAAGATACACAAGGCTAGCGAGGAATGAAAAGAGGGAGGGCTTCATTGTCTTCGAGTGCCAGTGGATGTGCTTGAAGTACTGGGAGTCGGCCAACAAGGATTTAGCACACTTTTATAAGCAGGCAATAAAGGGCATTTGAGCAACAGATCTAATTTCGTTTTGCTGATCCATGCTCTTCAGAGGTCCTGAAGCGTATCAGTAGGGCAAAGACGATTAGGGAGAATAAGAAGCAATCCTTAGTGGTATAGCCAGTTGACATCGTCAGCGCTGATGAAAGTAAGATTTCACACCTAAGGAAGCCTTGGACCGTCCGCTTTGAGCACGGCAGAGCAGTTCATCGCAGTTAAGATGCCTTCCAACATATATAAGCTCTCAAAATCATGTAGCTGGGAAATTTCAGAAGTGCAACAGTCGTGAGTAAAAGAGCAAGACTTGAGTCGAATCCACAAGTCGTATGCAACACAAAAAGGAAATTGTATTCCACAATGCTTACGTCAACATGACTTGCCGCGACGCCGCGTCTAACGCTGAAGGCTGCGCTCCTCCTATCCATTCAACTATTCTGGTCGTTCTCGACGGGCTGAGGACAACATGGGGGATGAATACCCGACGTTCTTTCGTAAGGAAATACTTTATTGTAGTATTTTAGGTCTGCGTATTAATTCGTGACTCGCCACAGGTTCTGAGCAGATGAGCTTGGTACAGCTCATCGTGCCTACTGAGGTCGCGCATGATGCTGTTTACGAGTTGGGTGAGCTGGGTAATGTCCAGTTCAAAGACGTAAGTATCATTTTCTTCTAGTCCGGCGAGGACACTCAATGTCTTCGCAGTTGAACCCGGAGGTCAATACATTCCAACGTTCATACGTTGCCGAGATTCGTCGCATCGACGAAATGGCTCGACGCGTTCGTTTCTTCAAGACACAAATTGAGAAGGAGAAGGATCCCATACGTGTCAGGCCGCTTTACGAGTCAGCTTTGTCAATGATCACTGTTGGCCCTCGTGGTCCCCAGACCATCGACGACCTTGATGTCCAGCTGGCTGAGCACGAGAAGAGGCTTACGCAGATGAATGACAGTTATGAGACGCTTAGCGAGCGTTTAAGGGAACTCATCGAAGCGAGGCATGTTCTCCGTGAAACAGCTGTTTTCTTCCAGAGGGTGCGAGAATTAATTTGCTGAATGTGGCGAGTGTCGTTGACCTTGACTTTTCAGGCTGAGGGTCACCAGAGTGAGATACGCACGTCTTTTGACGAGAGTGCCGCTCCGTTGTTGCAACACGACGATACCGAGAGTCAGCTTCCTGCGGGACAATACGCAGCAGGAGGTTTTGACTTGGAGTACGTGTATTAGTTCATGTCTATCATCCCGACTCATTTTCGTCCTAGGTTCGTCTCAGGAACGATTGAGCGTTCTCGTCTCCCCACCCTCGAGCGAGTCTTATGGCGTGTCTTGCGTGGCAATCTTTATATGAACCATGCAAACATTGACGAACCTTTCATCAATCCCGTCTCAGGAGAAGAAACACGCAAAAATGTCTTCATCATTTTCGCGCACGGTGAAGCGTTGCTGGCGAAGATCCGCAAGGTAGCCGAGTCAATGGGTGCAACGCTCTACCCGATCGATGCGAATGCCGACAAGCGCGAAGAAGCGCTTCGGGATGTTAATACACGCCTCGAGGACCTCTCGACTGCATTGTACAATACTGGCCATAACAGACGTATTGAACTCAATGCCATCGGTGATTGTGTTTCAAAATGGGAGGATGTGGTTCGCAAGGAGAAAATGATTTATGAGACGTTGAACTTGTTCAACTATGATGTCCGCCGCAAGACTTTGCTCGCGGAAGGGTGGGTTCCGACGAGAGACATTGTCATAGTCCAAGAAGCTTTGCGTCATGCTACTGTAAGTGATAGTTTCGTTTCTGGGAATAATCCATCTAACAGGATGTTCAGGAGGAGTCTGGGACGAACGTTCCTCCTATCCTGCACGAACTTCGTACCAATAAGAATCCTCCGACCTTCGTTCGGACAAACAAGTTCACAGAAGGATTCCAAGCAATCATGGACAGCTACGGGATTGCAACTTACCAAGAAGCTAACCCAGGGCTGTTCGCTGTCATTACGTTCCCTTTCTTGTTTGCGGTTATGTTCGGTGATATTGGCCACGGAGCGATCATTTTCGTCTCCGCCCTGTTCATGATCTCGATGGAAAACAAGCTAAAGCATGTTGATCTCGGAGAAGTAAGTGGATCTGCCGTATTTAGCTGGTCAAGCTGATGTTTTGCTCGTAGATGGCTGGAATGCCGTTCTTGTAAGTTTAATCTGATTGCCTGAGAACGCTCGCTGACCGTATTATAGTGGACGGTATATCATTCTGCTCATGGGCGCCTTTTCCGTTTATACTGGCTTAATGTACAACGACATCTTCTCAAAGTCGTTGCACATCTGGCACTCTGGATGGGATTGGGTCGGATCGGAGGATTCCCAGGAAGGCGTTTCTAATGGACATGTCTATCCTTTCGGACTGGATCCAGCCTGGCATGACGCCGACAATGCGTTGGTTTTCACCAACTCATACAAGATGAAGATGTCGATAGTACTTGGTGTTATCCATGTGAGTGAAGAGCCAAACGAAAAAGAATATAACTGAATCGGGTCGCTACAGATGACGTTCGCTCTTTGTTTGCAGGTTCCGAATCACCTTCGTTTCAACAGAATCTCGGATATTTATACAAACTTCATCCCACAAATGATCTTCCTTCAATCCATCTTTGGTTACCTCGTCATCTGCATTATCTATAAATGGAGCATTGACTGGTCCACGGCGTCGATTCAGCCGCCGTCGCTACTGAACATGATCATCAACATGTTCCTTTCTCCCGGAACTGTCGACCCGAAAGAACAACTTTACAGGGGTCAAGCAACGGTTCAGGTGATTTTGTTGGGATTGGCAGCAATTTGTGTACCGTGGCTACTCATAGCAAAGCCGTATCTTGAATGGAAGGAGATGAACAAGATACACAAGCAGGGTTACGTTGGTCTTAACCATGCGGATGACGCGCCGAGGATGAGTGGAGACTTGGAAGGTGAGGAAGAAGGTAATGGCCGCGCTGTTGCTGAGGCTATGGAAGAATCTGTAGTATGTGCTATCTTGATATTGATCAGTTTACACGCTCTAATTCCGGAGATAGGAGGAACACGACTTCAGTGAGATAATCGTGCACCAGGTCATCCATACGATCGAGTTCTGCCTCGGCTGTATTTCCCATACAGCATCATATCTACGTCTTTGGGCTCTTTCCCTGGCTCATGCGCAGCTGTCCGAAGTGCTATGGTCGATGACTATTGAAATTGCACTAGGGTGGAGCGGGCTATTTGGCACGATAGGATTAGTCATAATTGGCCTCATGTGGTTCAGCTTGACTGTCTTTATTCTTTGTGTGATGGAGGTGCGCATTGACATGCTTCTTTCTACCTCGTGTACGGAGACCGGGATGTCCTAACCGCCGCATTTTTAGGGCTTGTCTGCATTCCTGCACGCACTGCGTCTTCATTGGGTAGAAGCGAACAGCAAGCACTACGAGGGCGGTGGATATGTACGTATCTTCTTACGTTTCTTTCGATGTTCGATAGCTAATTTGGACAAACGTGCGCCACGCTGACTCTGACAGCCGTTTACACCGCTCAAGTTCTCGGAGACAACGTGACGAAGGGGCGGTATCGTGAGACGCGTGCAGTCTGGTTTAGCGTACATTTTATTTATTTAGACAGACGGACAGTTTGTTCGGAACTCTTTGAAATTGCAGATGCTGGCGTTGTTTTCTTTGTTTGCTTCGCTGCGATGTGGCGAGCGGTACGATAGAGTTCTGTGGGAGAGGAGGTACCCCGCATTTTTAGCGAGATAGGAACAGGGTTCGGTGATGCTGTTTCTGATCTTGTTTGACGTTTCATGCATGCGTTTCGAGCGTTGCTTTATGCGTTTTTTTGTTTATTCGGTGACTGGGTTACCCATTTCCGGGCACCGACATCGACGCTGCACTGAGTCAGTTGCGCATATACCGGCAGTAAGATGGTGCTCGGCGTGAATAGTAGAGAGGTCGGCCACAAGGCTTGGAGTAGACGGACGGACGGAGAGCAGAGCCGAGATTAGCAACAGCCTTGACTACCCAATCGAGCGAATGTAATTAGTAATTGAAACTCCGCTGTTGCTTGCATATATAGCACCGAAAAACTTATCGACGCTCCTCACTTTCCCCTTTCTCTACACGCATAGACGGTTAGTCCATTTTCCTGCCCGTGCTCATCGTCAGTGTGTGGCTTTGAGCTCGGTGGTTTGCAAGTTACTGACAGGCACCTTCGCTCCCGCAGGCCTCGGCCTTATAGACCGCTTTAGAGTGTCTCTTTGTTTCTTGTCCTTGCAAGCCTTACAGACGACATTAGACTAAAGCTCACCCTAGTCGCTCTTATCTCAACTACTTAGGTGTGTATTCTCTGCGTTATTGTCCTGTATCGTTCAGTTGTATTGATCTGTGCTGCCTGTCGTACGTGGCGACTGCCATCCATCCATCAGATAGATAGATTTCGAAATGCCCGCGACGTCTGTTGCCACTCCTGCTTCGATCCCTTCGCCCGCTGACTTGAAGGCCGCCATGGTATCTGACAGCAAAGTCGACCTATCCGCTGTCTTCGTTGCCGACAAGGCTGTTAGCGAAGCCGCGACCGCCAACCTTGTTGCGCTCGCCCAAAAAGAAGGCCCCTCCGCCGTCGCTGCGTCGGGATTCGCCGATGCTGCCATCAAGGCGCTCGCCGACAAAAAGAGCCCTGCTGCGCGCGAGGGTGCCGCTAAGACCGTTTCAACTATCATCTCTCAGGGTGCCGTCAAGACGCTCGAGCCGATTTTCGTCAGCTCGGGACTATCTGCTGCACTCATTGAGACTTTCGCCGACAAGATGCCCGCTGTCCGGACAGCCGCTGTCGACGCGGTGAAGGCATACGTTGCTGCTATGAACCCATGGGCTACCGTCACCGTATTGCCTGCACTTCTTCATCAGATCAAAACTGCCGGCAAATGGCAGATCAAGACCGGCGCTCTGACCGTCCTCAACCAGCTCATCGTTAGCGCTCCGGAGCAGACCGCCAAGTCTATGCCTGACATCGTCCCTGTCCTCTCTGAGGTCATTTGGGACACCAAGGCCGACGTGAAGAAGGCTGCGCGCGATACGCTCACTAAGGCCACTGCATTGATTTCCAACAAGGACATAGAACGCTTTATTCCGGCCCTAATATCAGCTCTAATTAATCCGGTCGAGGAGGTGCCCAGCACCATCCAACTCCTCGCCGCCACCACATTCGTTTCTGAAGTAGACTCCCCTACTCTCTCCCTAATGGTCCCGCTTCTCTCCCGTGGTCTTAATGAGAAGCTCACTGCTACGAAGCGAAAGGTCGCCGTGTAAGTCTCCGTTGATTCCGCGCTTCTGATTAAGTCTAGTCTAACCTTACTCTTCTTTTAGTATCATCGACAACATGGCGAAGCTCGTTGACTCTGCGACGACTGTCCGACCCTTCCTGCCGAAGCTTCTCCCGGGTCTGATCAAGATCAAGGACACCATCGGTGACCCTGAGGCTCGTGGCGTCGTCGAGCGTGCGATTGCTACGCTCCGCCAGGTTGGCGAAGTCCCAACGGGTGACGGTACCGACCTTCCGCCACTCAAGTTCGCTGAACCAGCTGGCCTCACGTCTTCCCTTGTCTCCATCTACAAGAAGCTTGGTGCTTCTCCGGTGCCTTCTGCCTCCGATGTCACCGTTCAGTACATTGGTGCACTCGCTGCAGCGCTTATTAACCTGAAGAACTTCGACAACGCTCAATGGCAATCGCTTACCCCTTACCTTGCCTACGTCGCGAAGTCGCCTGAGGCAGAGAAGGTCGCGGCTGAATATATGCTCAAGTCATCTGCCGCTGACAATGAGGAAGACAATGACAATGAAGATGAAGAGGAGGGCGAAGATCTTTGCAACTGCACGTTCTCCCTTGCATATGGTGCGAAGATCCTGCTCAACACAGCTACCCTCCGGCTCAAGCGTGGCCACCGCTACGGTCTTTGCGGTAAGAACGGTACCGGAAAGTCGACACTCATGCGCGCGATTACAAACGGCCAGGTCGAGGGTTTCCCGTCACCCGACGAGGTCCGCACGTTCTACGTCGAGCACGACATCGACGGCAGTGAGGCTGACACCACTGTTCTCCAGTGGGTTGTTGCCGATAAGCGCATCCAGGCAACGGAGAAGGAGATTATTGATGCGCTCGTCTCTGTTGGCTTCTCCGACGAGAGGCAGGGCCAGGCCATTGGCAGTCTGTCTGGTGGTTGGAAGATGAAGTTGGCTCTTGCTCGTGCTATGCTCTTCAAGGCCGATATCCTCTTGCTCGATGAGCCGACTAACCATTTGGACGTTGTCAACGTCGCATGGCTTGAGGCTTACCTCACTGGACTCACGAACTGCACGTCAATCATCGTGTCGCACGATTCCGGCTTTTTGAACAACACGATCACGGACGTTCTGCACTTGAACCGCTTCAAGCTCAGGCGCTACAGGGGAAACCTTGAAGCGTTTGTCAAGGTCGTGCCTGAAGCCAAATCATACTACACGCTCGAGGCAGCTGAGGACTACAAATTCAAGCTGCCTGACCCCCCACTTCTTGAAGGTGTTAAGACCAAGGACAGGGCACTTCTTAAGATGCGCAAGGTTGGATTCCAGTATCCTGGAACGGCCACGCAGCAGCTCCACGACATCACACTCCAAGTCTCGCTCAACTCCCGTGTTGCTATCCTTGGTCCTAACGGTTCCGGAAAGTCGACACTTGTCAAGCTTTTGGTCGGCGACACTGAACCGAACTGTGGTGGTGAGGTTTGGAAGCACCCGAACTTGGTTATTGGTTACGTTGCACAGCACGCATTCCACCACATCGATAATCATCTCGACAAGACGCCTCTCGAATATATGCTGTGGCGTTACCAAACGGGTGAGGACTTGGAGGAAATGGGCAAAGCCGCGCGTCAGGTCACTGAAGAGGAGCAGCAGAAGATGAAGGATGGCTCTCTCTTTGTCGTCGAAGGCCAGAAACGTACCCTCGAAGAGATCATCGCGCGCAAGAAGCTCAAGCAGTCATACGAGTACGAGATTTCTTTCAAGGGCCTTTCCTCGTCTGAGAACATCTGGGTCCCTCGTGATGAGCTCGTCAAGCGTGGTTTCGAGAAGAAGGTCCTCGAAGTCGACACCCGTGAGGCTCAGCGCCTCGGTCTTCTCCGTCCGCTCGTCCGTCGCGAGATCGAGAAGCACTTCGCAGACTTCGGCCTTGAGGCTGAGTTTGTGTCGCACAACACCATGCGTGGTCTCTCGGGTGGTCAAAAGGTTAAGATTGTTCTTGGTGCCGCAACATGGCGCCGGCCGCACATCATCTGTTTGGATGAGCCGACGAACTATCTCGACCGTGAGTCATTGGCTGCTCTTATTGAGGCACTCAAGGTGTACGAGGGAGGTGTGCTCATCATCACTCACAACCGTGACTTCTCCGAGTCACTTTGCAAAGAGTAAGTACTTCCCATATTTACCTTAGCTATTTCTAATCACATCTTCCTTCATTAGAGTGTGGGCCATGCGGGACGGTACCCTTGAGGCGTCCGGCCACAACTGGGTACAAGGCCAGGGCGCTGGACCGCGGATTGACAAGGGTAACGGACCAGAGGAGGATGAATACGATGCGATGGGCAACAAGATTAACAAGGAAGCGCAGAAGAAGAAGCTATCTGCGAACGAAGCACGTAAGGCGAAGAAGGACCGGATGGCACGCAAGAAACGAGGAGAGGACGTTGACGATCTCGACTATTGAAGCACGAGTTTTAATGGTTGTTCATGATGTTGCCTTTGTAGGATTTCGTCTTTGTCCGTTGTCGTTCTATCACCCTTGTTTGTTGTTGTCATACCCTCTATGTGCTGTCCTATGTTCGTCTGTGGTTCTAGATTATTTCTTCTGTGATTACATATGCGATGTACTGTCTACATATTATGCCTCCTTAATGCCATCGCCCGTATGGGGTTTCTATCTTCAAGAATCATATGCCAACTCGTGGGAAGTAGATACCGTTCTCAGCCAGCAGCTAATATAAATGTGTCAACTGGTTAGCTACCTGCTGAGCCCGCGAATACGCCGCATACCCGCTACTCTCCTTCCGCCAAGTCACAAAGCAACCCAGTCGCATCTCCTGCACAATGGATGAAAAACTCAGAATTGCGTTCATCCACCCAGATCTTGGAATAGGTATTTCACACTTCTCTCGTGTAATCTAGCCTTGCCGCTGTTAGTGACACGTATTTCGTTTCAGGTGGTGCTGAGCGGCTCGTCGTCGATGCTGCCCTGGGCTTGCAGAACTTGGGTCATTCAGTGGATATCTATACAAGTCATCACGATACTAAACATTGTTTCGAGGAGACGAGGGACGGTATGCGTGTCCTTTCCTCCTTTCTGACTCGCATGATGACTTACACGTCTCCTACTTATGTGCTTACTTCTTTTAGGAATCCTCCGTGTACATCACATAAAATCTCCCTTCCCTCGCGCATACAAGGGGAAACTCCATATCTTCTTCGCACACTTGCGTCAACTCCACCTCACATCTTACCTCCTTCGTTCAGGCGAAGCAGAGACGTACGATGTGTTCTTCGTAGACCAACTCTCAACTTGTGTCCCGCTTTTACGAATGTTTGCGAGGAGACGCGTGGTGTTTTATTGTCATTTTCCTGATAAGTTGCTTGCGGATGGGGAGTTGCAGCTTGATGGTGATGGGAAGATTGGGAGGAGGAGGAAGGGTGGAATTTTGAAGAGGGTGTATAGGATGCCGATGGATTGGCTTGAGGAGATTACTACTGGTGAGTTCTAACTTTTCTTCCAAGATTAAAGTATCATAGTACTCATGAACGGCTTAGGAAACGCCGACATCTTACTGGCAAACTCAGAATTCACCTCAAACGTATTCAACACATTCTTCTCAATTCCTCGAAAACCGCGAGTAGTATACCCAGGGATCAACCTCGCAGCTTACACACCTCCATCAAAAGAAAACTCCGATAGTAGTCCAGAGATTCAAGAAATCAGCTCGTAAGTAACTTCAACTACACCTTTCTAATTTGGTTATATTGGATTTGAGTTTTCTGAGTTCGATGGGTGAAAGAATAGGAATCGTCCGACGTTGCTTTCGTTAAATCGATTTGAGAAAAAGAAGAATGCTGCGCTTGCGTTGAAGGCTTTTGCGTTGTTGAAGCAGGATATGCCGACTAACACGTTCTCGGAAGAACCTTTGCGTCTCGTTCTTGCTGGTGAGTTATTTAATTTTCTGATACCACCGATCCGAGGATCGCGCTCATATGAAACAACGCAGGCGGGTACGACCCAAGACTACAAGATAACATCGAAACACTGCAAGAACTCCTAGCCCTCGCAACGTCCTCCAACCTAACCTACCACCTCTCAACGCCCACCACCTCCCTCCTCCGCACACTTCCATCTCCAACATCTCCTACCATACAAAACGCAGATATCCTTTTCCTACTCAACTTCACGACTCCACAACGTGCCGCCTTACTCACCGCACCATCCACACTCGTACTTCTTTACACACCCGCGAACGAGCATTTCGGTATCGGTCCCGTAGAGGGTATGGCTTGTGGTCTTCCGGTACTCGCATGCAACAGCGGCGGACCAACCGAGAGCGTCCTGACCTCCCCACCCGCACCACCAGAATCACATACAGGCTGGCTCTGCCCTCCATCCCCCCAAACATGGGCACACACCCTCCAACACTCAATCCTCCCCCTCTCTCTCAACCCTCTTGCCCGAGCCGAATTAGCTGAACGAGCCAAAACCCGCGCACACGACTTATTCGGTATGGAAGCTATGGCGTTAGCTATCCAAGAAGCACTTTACGATGCTGTTCAGTTAGATGGAGGTGTTGTGGAGAATAACGCTTCTGCGTGGGTCTCTGATGTCTTGCTTGCAATGGTCATTTCGCTTGTTGCGTATGCGATTTTTAGGTTTGTTGTTTGTCGGTGAAAGCTTACCTACTTAGACGGTGTCATTTTTTGTTTTCTTCCTCTTTTTGGCTTTGGACGGTGCCATCATCGCTCTTTTCTTCCTCTTGTTCTCGACGCTCTTTAGATGTAAATCGTATATGATTATTTCAAAATTTTAAAAACGCTCCACTTACAAACCGATTTGACGAAGTTGCCATGATAGTTGGTAAGTGTATTTGTATAGTGTAGTGTGCTTGAGGAACTTTATGTAGGACACGCGACATGACAGTCTAAAATATAAGAATATGATCAAATTATAAATGCTTGACCATCCTTCATCGCTACTTCCCTCCAATTCGGCACATCCGACTTCTTTGACTTCCTAGTTGTAAGTGTCCTAACTCTAGCCTTCATTGTTGTTTAAATTGTTTAGTGAAATTCCTAACTTACTTTGTGGACCTTCCAGATTTCTACTTCTATCCTCCTGTTTATAAAAATTTAGATTTTTCACAGTACTTGCTCAACATGACCTAAGTAGAAGAATACTGGTAATTATGAGTACAATACAGTATTTCTCTGGATTTACTAGAAGTTTAGTTGCTATATTAGTATATTTGACTGATTGTAAGATCTATGTACATTAGAGCTGTATACAATAAGATATACTTAGCTAGTTGCCTTTCAAACAGCAAAGTAGGTTGTTTGCATTTTAATCTTATTTACACTAAACTGGCTGCTCAGTGTGCTGTAAGGCTCACAATATTAATAAATACACTTTACTACACAATCAAGCTATAAAGTCTTACAAAGAGAATGTTTGAGCCAGTACAGCCCTTGTTGTGCATAACTCCTTTACATCATGTCTGAGAAACAAAACTCAAGTCAGTCCAAAAACACGTGTCACACTCATCCACAGGAACACAATGATAGTCCTTCCTATTCCCTGTGTCAAGACAGTGTAGCAAGCAAGAAAACTGAGAGAGAAGATACAGGAATCACACAGGAGCAAGATAAATTAACAAAAAGAATTAATGACATTGACTTGCAATTGAATCAGATGTCTGGAGAAGTGCTCTAGACACTCTATGGAGATGAAAATGCCAGAAAGGGTGCAGATGATTGTTCAGTCAAGATGACAAATCTTAAAAAAGAGAAATTGAAAATAGAAAGAAGGCTGAGACAGTTGGGTTGAGAGCCAGAGAGAATCTCAACACAAATGAATATTATGAAGGATAATCAAAGTAGAAAGAAGCAGAATAAACCAGAGCAAGCAAGAATTAGTTAATAGCTCTCTAGATTATTAGTCAATTATTTGTTATATAGTCCAGTGCCTCATTGTTTCTTTCTAGAGACATAAACTAGAAAGATATTAACCTATTTATTTTTGACAGACTGTTTCCTCCAAAATTACCTAGAATGTAAGGAAAAGGCTGAGATTTACAGTATATAATACAAATATTGTAGAAGTCTATGTCAATCTTAGACCTGACCAATTGTATTCAATGTGTTGTGGTTCTAGTAGTGTGTTACAGTTCTCTACTCTCATACTTTCAGTTCTGAGGGTTCTACACCCTTCTGTACCAGAACTCAGGACTTCTGTCCCTTAGGGGCACTGTCTATAAACTATATGTATACTGACTCTTACTACTACCCCTCCTTACTTCATCATTCCATTCCTTTAACCACCCTTTCATTCTTTGTTCATTCTATAGTCTCTTACCCTTTGTCCATCCCTTTATTCCTTGTACCTTTATCTTTGACCTTCCTTTCTTTCATTCTTTGTGGCTTATCATTCTTAGTAGCTTGTACTCCCTGAGTACTCTTGTATAGTTTAGTATATATAAGTGTACAAGATCAGACTAGTCCTATAGTCTTGATCTTGTCTACTCTAGGTAGTCCTGTACTTTTAGGCTCACTCTATATACTCTACTCTTGTCTCACTCTCTCTCTCTGTCTGTTCTACAAGTTCCAACTATGTTCTAGTACTTGTTGTTACAATTCTCTGCTCTCTTACCTTCAGTTCCAAGGGTTCTACACCCTTCTGTACCAGAACTCAGGACTTCTGTCCCTTGGGGGTGCTGTCTATAGACTATATGTGTGCTGACTCTTACTACTACCCTTCCTTACTTCATCATTCCATTCCTTTGACTACTCCTTCATTCTCTGTTCATTCTATGGTCTCTTACCCTTTGTCC